TGTATCAGGATGTCACCTTCATCCCTTCCGCACGTATGTCCAATGTGAAAATGTGCATTTCATTATTTTGTCCTCCCCCAGGTGTGGATGTCCACGCCTGAGACATGTGCACACTGCCAGGCTCTCTTTTCGGCTGTGGAAATGACCTTAGGGGGCAGGAGGGAGGGCTACAGAGTGAACAACTGGCACGTAAAAGTGTTTTCTGCCCACAGAAGGAATGAAGGCATGGAAAGCACTCCAGAAGGGACCGTCTTCCTCAGTTTTCTGGAAAGGAAAAGGAAACCAATAGAAGATAACATTTCCTCCTCCTCTCTGCAAACCCCATTCCCTTCTAGCACAGATGATGTTCCCTAGTTGGGTCGTGAAACGTCTGCAAGAAAACAGCCAGTTCAGAGAGCACCAAGGACCCCACAGGGAAAGTAAAGCAAGTTTTGCTTTCAAGATTTCGTTAGCGTACCTCGACACTAGCTCCTAATTGTGCTTCTTCTCTGGCCTACCTCACAGGGCTGACCCTCTGGAGAAGGACTTCCTTGCATTCCCTTCCCTGACCTAGAGACTTCTCTGCTTGGGAGCAAAAGACCCCCTCTCCCCTTCCCCAAAGCATCCAGCCAACCCATCATTTCAACACTCCAACGAAGAGCTCACCTCCGCCACCAATTTCTCCTTTTTTGCAGCGTGCAACCCGGCTTTCCTCTGCACATGCCCGCCCGCCAGCTTTCCTCCTCCTGTCGCACGCATCCCACCCTGAGCCTTGCGACTCTTGGCAGGAAGAAAGATACTAAAAAGGGGGGGAACACGAGGCAGCACAAGAGATAGCAGGAGCGACTGCCATATCAGCCGTCTTCAGGCAAGATAACACGATAAATAATCAATCCATCCCCGTGCAAAATCCTTAAGTGCTTGATGTATCTGTCTGCAAATTGAATCACTTCGCCTGCCAGGAAGTTCTGCCTTGTAAATAAACGAGTGCAGAAAGGCAGCACACGGGGACGATGGAGATGTAGGCATACACACAAGCGCGCAGGCGACACCTGGTTAAAGCTGCTGATTAAATTTGAGCAAAGGAACGAGGCTTTCCTTGTTATTATTTTTTTTAAAAAAATTAAGAAGTGGAGAATATGATCCCCTTTCCATTTAGGACGGGGGGGGGAGGGAAGGAGAGGTCCTGCATCTGGGCCAGGAATTAGATTAGACTTTTATAAGGTGTCCCCGCAGCTCCCGATTAAGGGGAGGGGGGGTGTAATATCCTTTATTAACAATTTAATGGACTCGCTGCAACTCCATCTGTCTTCATCAGTGCTTCCTCAGCTCATCTGGGAGAACTAGTTTGTGCAAGACCTGAAATACTGACCTGATGAAAGAGTGAGGATGATCATCCATCAGTGTCTGTGTCCAACTGATGAAGTTAGAAGAAGGGAAAGAGTGAGGAAAGTTTGCAGGGTGTGAGTCCAGACTTACATTTCCAGCGGATGTCGAGAATCCTCCAGTCGAGATTTTGGGATCGTTACTGGAGGCTGCCCACCTTGTCCCTCAAATTCCTTGGCTCGGTGTCCTATCTACGTCTTGAAGTTCTTCACAATGTTCTTGGATAGCTAGAGTCTGGCCTTTTATCCATTTCCTGGCCTCCTAAGAGCTTCTCAATCACAACTTAGCAACAACTACTCCAAGTTTCTCTTGCCTGAGATGGAGAAAAATGTAACTCAGCGTTCAGGAATCTGTGGCTTCTCAGACATGGTTGAGGGACCTCAACTTGCATCAATCAAAGGAAGCCAAGGGTCCAAACAGTCAGGGATGGCCCAATTGTGGTCCAATGACCCTAGAGGACCATACTGTAGATGTCCTGTTGTAACTTCTAAGAAGTCTTGGATGTTGACGCCTCTTTAGAAAGAAACCAATAGGTTGTGGAAACCAGGTACATTGTTGGCTAACTTATACTCATCTTTTCCCATGAGGATGTTCCTCCTTCATCTCTTCACAAAGACCTTTTGTGATTCAGAGCAGATCCAGAGAAGTTCTCCTCCTCCTCCCTGGCCTTGTGGCTTCTTCAGTGGCTCTCTGTGCCTGGATGCAGGTGTCCACACAGGAAGGGAATGGGGGAAGAATGAGCAGGTGACTCTGCAAGGGATGGAGGAAAAAGAAGCATGCAAAATAGTAATTGGAGGACAGGCCCTCTTCTGTTCTAGAGGGGGAGAAGCATGCTTCTACTAAACCTTTAGCCCCCAGGAAAGGTGGCGTACCTCTATCCCTGCTGCAAATGCTCCTGGGTGGGAAAAGAGGGTGGTTGAGAAGGAACAGAGGTCTCAAAATGAAGTTGTTTCCAGCCTTTGATTCTATCCCTGGAATTATTTACAGCTGCAGGCAATAGGAAACTATGTAGAGCAAGTGCTCTCATTTACATGCTAATTCATTTATGCCCTCTGGATTGACTTCACCAATTCATTTTCAGCCCACTAACTCTTCTGACGTGAATTATATTATCACCTCCAGAATGGCAGCCGGGAAATACAACAGCAGAGTGGGTGGGGGGGGGAGGAGCTGCCCTTTGACCCTTCAGACGGCCCTGGGAGGGTGGGGTGGGGTGGGAAAACCTGAGCTGGAACTGTGGCAGACAAATAGGACCAGCCTCCCTGTCTGCTCCTCAAATCACCTGCCAAGGTTTGGGTCATCTGCTGGGATGGATACCGTGGCTGCCTTCAGAGGAAGTGGGTTGAAAATTAAAGGGGGGCACCGAGAGTCGGAAGGAAAGGCAGTGAGTTTGGCCTGGCTGGTCTCCCCAATCGAAAATGATGATGGTTGAAGCTTTCAAAGGAGCAATAGAAGTTTCCAAAGGACTTGGTGGAAAAAAATCTTTTTCTTTCTTTCTCTTCTTTTTCTTTCTTTCCCTTTCTTTTAGACCATTCCTTGTCCTGCCTTCCTTTGACTTCAAAGTCCTTGCTCAAGGAAACGGATAACGCCGCTGAGCACACTGCTTTCTTTAAATGTCTTCATTTCACTCTCAAACTTGGACTATTAATTCATACTGTTTGATTAAGACTGGTTAATTGACTCCCTTTATATGGGCTTTAGCCATGTTTCATTTATGCGTTTTACTCTTGACATCCATCAAGCTTCCACAGGGGTCCTTCGAAGAGTCCCCCCCCCATACCTGGAGGTCTTTCCTGGGGCCTCCAGAAAGCTCGGTCAGGCCAGGCGAGTCGAGAAATTCCTTCAAGTCACCCCTAGGATGATGACTGACTGACTTGGCTACGGAAGCAGGTTTGTGCAATCGCTGGCTTGAGTATGCATGCGTGGGTGTGTGTGTATACTTAAATAAGCAAATAACCATGGGTCTTGAAAATGCCCGGCTTCCCCTTCCTTAGAACCAAACGTTGCACAAGCTTTTATTTTTTTTAAAGTTTACTCCGAACATACTCGATTTAAAGGGCAGAACGGGCTTCAAAGAACGTATGCCAGAAGATATGATGAAACGCTAGTTCCTTTTTTGTGCATTGTCCCCCCCCCCCAAAAAAAATTACTCCTACTTTGGAACAAAAGCTCAACTCCGGCAATGAGAACAGGGACTCTCCACCTCGTGCCGACTGGGGAATGCTGGGAGTTGAAGGCCAGACCTCCAGTTGCCAAGGTGGAGAAACCCAGTTCTGTTTTCCTTGCTACCGTCTTGTCAAGCGGTTCTATAAAAAGAAGCAGCAAGACAAGAAGTGAGGCACACAAGCCAAAACTGGCCCTCCATTGTCTGTTCTCCAGACCAAGGTTGCCAGAATTAGCAGTCTGAGCTGGCAGCTGGATCCTGAAACGCAGAGGTGGAGGTCTCAGTCTGCTGGTTTGGGCAGAAAGCCAGACTCCTCAGATTTATACTGAGTCTGGCCAGCCTCGGGGCTTAATTCCGCCTGCCAGCTGCTTGCCAACTCCGGGGAAAGTCTCGGTGTTCTTCTGCAGAAGGTCGACATTGAGAGCTTTCATCTCGATCACATACCTAGGACAGGGCTGGGCTTTGAACGTTCTTTCTCCAGCTCTGCTCACGTCATCCGTTCTTCTGCTAGATGTATCTGAGCCAGGACGCATCACCGTTCTCCTCAACTCTATCCACAGATAAGCTACCAAGATCCTTCTGACTGTTTTTGGCTAGGTCTGAAAGGAACTGACTGGGTTATCTAACCCAACATCTGGTATCCCATCAGTTTGGGGATCCTATTCTATAGGGGGATTATTTCTGAAGACCATCAAGTCAACATCAGTGAAGAGATGGGGATAACCATGAACGAAGAAGCTTCACCAGACTTGATCCCAGGAAGGAGATAAATTATTGGTCTGGATGTAGGGGGTACATCCAGATAACTTTGTTGCCTTCTGGACTACGCAGCCTATATCCAGCAGCTCAAGATAAGTGGAGACTTTACAAAATGGCCCAACCCGTCAACTGAAGGAGGAGAAGTTTAGTGTTTGGGGCAACCGTAGGTATGGAGCAAATAGGAGTTGCAAAGGATCTTCTGAACCAGATTGCTCCTTTTTAAGCACCACGGAAGATCCACGATCTGCTCCATGCGGGGAACAATTGATTTATTATACTTGGACACAGCAGCTAAATTCAGACCCAAATATCTACATGCACCCTCCTATTTGCAACTGAAAGCCTTTCCCAAATTCTTCCATCAACAGAATGGAAAGGACTTTCTTTTCAAAAAAAGATTTAAAAAATGGTGGTGAATTTATAATTTTATCCATCCAGTTTGACCTGGGACCCTCCACTGATGTTTATTGTACTGAAAATTTTGCATCTGGAATATTCCCACTTAAACAAACAAAAAACAAAAAACCTACACTGCCAGGATGTGGTAATCCTGCCACGGAGCCACGTTTGACAAGATAGAAACCCAAGATTTTTGTGTTGTTGTGAGGGTGCCTGGAAACCGACATTTTCCCTCTGCCGTCTGTCATTCCTGTGTTCTCTGCTCGCTTGCTGCTCATTCTAACTGCCGGCAATCAAATGGAATCGTAATCAATTCATTGCTAAATGTTTTATGTTGCAGAGGAAAAAGAGCATTGCTTAAATTGAAATGACACACTCGCACACATAAAACGAACACAAACAAAAGAAGGGCAAGAACGAAAGGCGGGGAGGAAGCATCTGCTGCTTCTCGCCTGCCAAGCGTTCCTTCTCCATTTTTTTTTTTATTTTTTGGCTAAAAACGGTCCTTAGCAGACTCCAGTTCCTGGAAAAGCCCACCGGCCTCTCTCGCCAACTCCAAAATCCTCAGAATAATGGGCAAGGGGCTTTGGTCATGCAGTCACCTTGCAAAGATGTGAAAGTTGAACGAGGTTGGATCAAAGTCTGAGGTTTTCCGGACTTCGTTGGGCTTGGTCCTCAGTTGGCTAGTTCCCTGAAGCTCCTGTCCCTTAAGGAAGTCTCCTGAACTCCTGCATTGGGTGCTTCCCTTGTTATCTAGATCCATCATTCCAAGAACCTGGAGCCAGATTTTCCATCCTTCTGGCCCACCCAAGCCCTATCAGTTGACTCAGAGAGCAATCTTTGCAGGTCAGGTTGTACAGAAGCCCTAATCTTCATGCCTGCTCCTCATCATCATCAGGTTCTCTGGATCTTCTGCCCCAAGTGCCTGATTTGGTTTGCTCATGACCCTTCTCTGTTTCAGGTCGTGCACCAACTTCTGGATAAATATACCAGTTTCCAGTCTGATGTCTCCATGGTTTCCATCTCATTAGGCTTCTGTGATTCTCCTGGGGGGTCAAGAGTCCTAAAAGGAGATGTTTTTCTCCTATCCAAAGCAGAATTTCACTCTAGTTATCCAGAGTTATCCAACTGCATCCTATACAGTGTTTTCTCCCAGTTAAGTCCACCAAGACTGGTTTAAATGGCTTCATGGTCTCAGAAGAGGTTGTGATCTACCTGGATTTCAGCTGCAACTTTCTGAGTCAATTGTCTGGCAAGTTATTTCAAGTATTTCTCTCCTATCCTTAACAACTGGGGTGCTGACCCCTCAAACACCTGAATAGTTACCATTTTAATGAAAAAAATGCTCCTGGTTGTAAGAAGTCACCTATTTCCTCCCCTTCCTCCTCCTCCTTCTTCTTCTTAGCTTCTGCCTCGAGCTTCTGGGCCACCCAGGAGATGAAATCTAGATTTTAGAAAAGGCACTGACACCACCTCCCCTTGAAGTTTGCAAATTGTCAGTCGTAAAATATTCTAGATTTATTATAATGTACAAAAGTAAAAAAAAAAAAAGAAAAAAAAAAGGCCATTGGGATCATCCCGCAGGCCAGATTCTGGAGTAAATCTGGTGGCTGGGATTCTCCAAATCATGGAAATAGACGCACACGTGGCGATTGTGGTGATGATGTTTGAATTAAAATTCCTGAGAATTCCCCCCCCCCCAAGTCGCTGGCAAACAGGCCTGCTGAGAGCTACAGCGCCACCTAGTGTCCAGAAGGTGATTTCTCCCAGGGATGGCACCCAAATCCTTGGAAGGAGAGCAATGGAAAGAGATTTATTTATAGTAGGAAGGGAAGTTTTTCTCTTCTGGGCAAAATGAAATGGTATAGCCCTGGCAGGGGAAAAAAATGGGGGGTAGCCACATGTGCCAAATTCTCCTGCAGATGGGGAAAAAAAAGAATCTGTGCGAGGTCTTTGCTTCAAAGCTTTGTTTGAAGATGCTCAAACTGCACTTGGATTTTTGGCAAATTCCAAAAGGCAAAGGAGTGCTGCATTCAGAGCCTCTATTTCTCCCCAGGGCTTTGCTCCTCACTATCCAAGCACGGCTAGATTTCCTGGGAGATCTGCTTCTACTTCAATTCTCCCCCCCCCCCTCACCTCTTCGTGGAGCAGCTAAACCACTTCTCCTCCTTAGAAACAAAGTTATCTGAACAGCACATAAATCCGTAGTTTCAGGTAATGAAGCTCCTTAGGTTGCATCCCCTCCTGGATTCAGTTCTTGGTTTTCAATATTCTGAAAAAGCCAAACTTGTTTTTCCTTTTTTCATTGTCCTGGGGACTGCGAGACACACCTGCGGGGAAGAAACACCTCCTTAAACCATCGATCAGTCATTACATGAGGGCTGCTGCTAAAGGTAGAATAGAATAGAGCTGGAAGGGACCTTGGAGGTCTTCTAGTCCAGCCCCCTGCTCAAGCAGGAGAACCTATACCGTCTCAGACAGGTGGATATCTAATCTCTTCTTGAAAATCTCCAGTGATGGAGCGCCCAGTTCTGGACTTTACCGTTCAATTAGTGACTGTTCAAAGTTGCAGCAGTCGTGAAAAAAGTTACGACGGTAGCATTACGCAAAAAGCAGCCTTGATCCAAATGGCTTAGTGCAGTGGTGGCGAACCTCTGGCATGCGTGCCAGAGGTGGCACTCAGAGCCCTTTCTGTGGGCACATGTGCCATGCCCCGGAGATGGCGAGAGACTGGCCCCTGCCGTCCTGGCCCCACCCACCCACTCTGCCATGACCACCGCGGCAACGCCCACCTGGCACCCAGTGATAAATAAGTGGGTTTTGGGTTGCAGTTTGGGCACTGGGTCTCTAAAAGGTTCGCCATCACTGGCTTAGTGTGATCTACCTTGCAGGGTTGAGACTCACCAAACTTCTTGATCATGTCAACGAACATCTCATCTTCTTCCAGCTCCCTAGAGAAGGAAGCACAGCAGCTAGTCCAACACCTGGAACAGGACTAGCACTCCAGATGTTGAACTAAAAGCTTCGGGAGAAAGGAGAGCCCCGCCCCTGCCGGATGCACAAGTAGCTTCCTGGTACGGTGTCTGCGGCCTCGGCCCAGTGAGCCCACTTCACAATTAGCAACGCAACTGCAGCCAGAAAGTACCGACAATCAGCCCTAATTACTCCAGGATACTTGCCAAACAGCCAGACCTGTGACCCTGGTTTGGCAGAAAGGAGCTGCTCAGGCTTCTCAGGAGGGCTCTTGACCCCCCCTTCGAAAGGCCCAAGGCCGGGAAGGTCCTTTTTCGAGGTAACTACTTCTGAAGAAGCGGGAAAATTGGAAACGGCAGGGCAAGCGATAGCTTCTTTCAGCCAAGTTCCCAACCTTGGCAAATTGAAAGACGTGTGGACTTCAAATCCCAGAATTCCCCAGCCTACCTTGCTGGGCAAGGGCTGTCCCTCCAGTCCTCCTGCCTTCCTCCACCCCTTCGTACCTGAGTCTGTCCTCATCCAGGTCTTCGACGATTTTGTTCCGATCGTTGACCGTGTCCAAGTACGAGTCGAGAAGTTCCTTCTCCCGAGCCTTCTCCTTCGCGGTCTTCAAGTTATCTGGGCGGCAGGGGAAGGACCAGAGTTATATGTTAAAGAAATAAATCACAAAACAACGGAAGGCTCTCCCAAGGGTTGTGTTGTGTCAGACAACCGTGGATGACCTTGGAGGGAAGATTCAGGAACGGTTAAGAGAAAGGAGGACAGAAGAAGTTCTGAAGTTCTGGAAAAGGGGGCCCTTCTAAGGAAAAGGCCAGGTTGGATCAAAAAGTTCAACCTTTTGCCTAAGAACACCTGCCAATAATTCCTTCCTTCCTTCCTTCCTCCCTCCCTCTCTCCCTCCCTCTTTCTCTTTCTTTCTTTCTTTCTTTCTTTCTTTCTTTCTTTCTTTCTTTCTTTCTTTCTTTCTTTCTTTCTTTCCTTCTTTTTGTTTTTATAACACCTGCTGGGATACACAAGGCCCTTCACCACCACAAAAGGGAGTCAGCATCAAAGTCGGTGGAAAGCAAGCTTGCTTTCCTTGTGGGGCCTCTATTTTACCTTCAAGATAAGGGGCTTAAACTGGGATGGGATCTGTATATCTGTTTCTCTTTCCTTGTTCTCCACTGTGCTTCCTGGCACTTTTGCTGTGTTGTAAAATAGGTTGGAGAAGATGGAGAAAAAAATGGAAGTTCTTCCCAACTGGAGGAATCATAACTATGAAGCGTGCCAAGAAGAGGATGGCTGGGAGACTCACCGGCTTTGCTGATGAGACTCCGAAGTTCAGTCTCAATATCCCACTGCTTTACTTCCAGTTTCTGCTGGTTTATCCTGCAGGAGAGAAACGTTACTTTAAGGAATCCAGATTCGCACGTGGGGCCAGTCCAAAGTTTTGGAGCCCTCCTGAACTGATTGCTGGAAGGATTCTACGACATCTTTTTCTTCTTATTATTATTTTGAGCAGAATTTTACCATACAATAAAAATAATTTCAAAAAAGGGAAGAAAAATACAGGGCAGCAGAAAAGATAAGAAATAAGAAAAGATTTTTAAAAATTGGGGGGAAAGGAAGGAAAACCTCCCTGTTTCAAACAACTTTCTATCAAAGAATAGGGGCCGTGAAGAAAAAGAAACACATGCTAGCTTAGTGGCCACAAGGGATAGGCAACTTGGTCGTTAACTGAAATGGCTGCTAAGCAAAATCACAAGTATACTTATGACTTCAGCTTTCCTTTACTTTACAGCTCTGCAAAAGTCATAAATGAGAGGACTGCTCATAAAGCTACTTTTTTTCACTGTCGTAACTGCAAACGGTCAATAATTAAGAATTGCTAAATGAGGACTGCAAACGGTCAATAAACAAGACAGTCACTAAAGGAGAACTACCTGTAATGACCTGTTGGGTTTAAAAAGGGAGCCCAAATCCTACCCTAGTCGGCAACTGGCTGCCCAGATGCCCTGAACCGGCCATTTTGCTTGCCCCATCCAGTTCCACTCACTTGTGCATCAACTCGGATTCCCGTCTCAGCAAGATCTGCTTCTCGTGGATCAGTTTGAACCATTCCACCATCAGGGTGTCTTCGGAATTGTCTGTGTACAAGATCCGAGAAAGAGGTCAAATGAGGCACCATCCGCCGCAAAGAACCTCAGACAGACCCTATAAGGTAGGCCAGGTGGGAAAATAACCCAGCACTGCCTCTGCAGAAGAAAAATTGCCTAACTTGGAAAAATTCCCTTAATCTTTTTTGTTATTAAAGAAGAAAAAAGAAGCCACGTATTCTAGCCTTCCAGGTCTCCATAAGGACTAGAAACCTGGACCTTTGCAAACCTTTTTTTCAAAAGAAGACCAGAAAGCACCATCTTTGGGCTGTTGTCAGTTTGGCAAGGACCCCCTCACCTCCCTCGCAAGCCCGCAGCTGTTTCTCCAAGGGGATCCCCTTCTGTTCCAGCCTGTCCAGATCTCTTTCAATCTGCCGCATTTCTTTCCGGATCTCTTCCTCGGGGATGTAATCCGGGTGGAGCTGAAAGGCATCAAAGAGTTAAAGGCATCCGATTTGCCACCCTGAGGCTCAGGGCGGTTTGGCATCCCAACAATCCTGCAAGGTAGGCTGGCAGCTCGGCTTGAATCCATAGCCTACCTTGGTGGGAGAGATGGCTTGATCACCCGGATGCTTCCAGAAGGTTCCCAGAGAGGATGGCTGGGCTGAAAACGAAGAGGGAAAGATTCAGTTGCTGTCCGACGGCCTTCCAGATGTCGCTGAACTACAATTCCCAGCGTCCCTCAGCAATGGCCCTCCTAGCTGGAGCTGATGAGAACTGTAGTTCAGCAATGTCAGATACTCAGAGTCTAATGGAAACAGTGAGAGAAACTGACCGGCCGCAACCACTGTTTTCGAGGGACTCCATTTCTCTGCTTTGGCAGTGGCTGGCTGAGATTCCCACGGCAACTTCTCTTTCTGCCAGCTGATGGAGGTATCCAGCTGTGGCACCAACAGCTTCTTCTTCAGGAGCTGGACAGCCAGCGGTGCTATGATGGAAACAAAAAGGAGAGAAAACACAATTTATGAGCATGGACTTGAGTTCAGATTCAGCTTTCAGCTATCCCAATGGGTGAGATCCTTCTCAAGGAGGATGTGCCCAGGAGAGGACAATGTTACCACAGATCGGGCCCAATCAGGCAAGCGGAAAAAGAGAAAACTGAGCAATCGGGAGTTCTCTCCCCTTCATGAGGACTAGTGTCTTCCTTGAAAGGCTTCAAAAGCCCAAAGAGAAAAGAACTGCCAGTGTTCCTATGGGAATTACCCAGATCCTGTCAAAGCACAGCTAGTCATACCAGAGTTAGGAGCTGCCGGGGACATGACCAAAAGAGGAGGCTTTTTGTCGTTTTGTCCTGGTTTCACCTCTATGTTGATCAACACTTTGTGAACATCGGCAGGTTTTGGAGACAGCTTGGTTGCGTCCTGATGGGGGGGTCTGCAGAAAAGGAGAGAGGCCATTAGCACGGATAGGCCTAACCAACATTTTGGGCCAAGGAAGGCAGAATTTGGCAGTCCCATATTGGACTCTGCAAATCAAATCACATAAAGTATTAGAACCGCTTTATAAATCCTTAGTAAGGCCACACCTGGAATAACTGCATCCAGTTTTGGTCACCACATTACAAAAAAGATGTTGAGACTTTGGAAAAATTGCAAAGAGCAACTAAGATGATTAAAGGCCTGGAGACTAAAACATACGAAGAACGGTTGCAGGATTTGGGAATGGCCAGTCTAGAGAAAAGAAGGATTGGGGGGACATGATACCTTAGCAGTATTCCAGTATTTGAGGGGCTGCCACAAAGAGGAGGGGGGGGTCAACTTGTTTTCCAAAGCTCAAGGCAGGACAAAAAACAACGGATGGAAACCAATCAAGGAGAGAAGCAACCAGGAATTAAGGAGAAACCTCCTAACAGTGAGGACAATTAACCAGTGGAACTGCTTGCCACCAGAAGTTGTGAATGTTCCATCACTGGAGGTTTTTAAGAAGAGATTGGACAGCCACCTGTCTGAAATGGTCTAGGACAGACATGTCAAACTTGTGACGTCACGTGACGTTGTGCAACGTATCAGGACTGTTTTGCCATTGCCGGCAATGGGGTGGCGCCGCGGCTTCTGTGTGACGCGTCTGGCCTATGGATCAGCAGTTTGACACCCCTGGTCTAGGGTTTCCTGCTTGAGCAGGGGGTTGGACTACAAGACCTCCAAGGTCCCTTCCAGCTCTATTCTACCCCTTAGATTTTGCTTTCCTTCTTTTTAGCACTCACTTGACTGGCTTCAGCCTCGCTCTCCAGTCTTCTGGGTTCTCCAATTTCTCTTCTGCCCCACTGGCATTTTTCACTGAATGAGAAACACACAAAAGAGGGTGAAGCATAAACCAGCATTCAAGGTTTGCACTCCTCCTCCTCCTCCCGAGTCCCAACCATCATGTGGAGTGAGTGAATTACGGAGCGGGTGTGCAAACATGCCGATTCTGCAAAATTGTGCTCGTAAGTGTGCAGTTTATAGAACCAAAATCTTTTGAGATTTGTTGATTTTTTTTTTTTAAAGGGTAGAATTGGATTTCTCGGCTGCCTCTATCCATCCCATCCCATGGCTGGCTGGGGAATTCTGGGAGTTGAAGCCCACCCATCTTAACATTGCCCAGATTGAGAATCACCGGTTTAAACATTAACTAGGATTGAGACCATTCAATTGACTCTCTTTGATTGGGGATTCAAGTCAGGATGTGACACCCAACTCATCACAGGCACCTGGAGGGCTGCTTCCTACCTTTAACCACCTTGGTGTCCGATTTACATCCAGCGTTGGCCGATGTGCCGATGGACCCATCCTTGACTTTGCTCTGGGGCTCAGCTCCAACCTCCACTTTGTGGCTAGGATCCTTGGGGAGATTCCCGACCCGATGGGGTGTTTCTGCCCCTCTTTGAGCGTCTGCAAAAGCTGGCTTGATAAAGGGTTTGCTAGCTGGGGAATTCTGGGGTTGCAGACCCCGCGAATTGGAGAGGGCAGGAGAAGATGGGTTGCTGGAAAGAAAAGATGGTTACTAGCTTCTTGGCTGAGTTAAGAAGACACAGAACCTGGCCGTCTTGGAAGCATGGGAACCGAGTTCCGAAACCGCCCTCTTCCAGCATATACATTTAATAAAGAAATAAAATCATAATCTACGGACTCCCTACCAAACCAATTCATAAGAGATAAAGTTGCACTTTTGTCCATTCCGGGGTGTGTCGGCTCGCCCTATCCCGCAAACACCCCTCTTTGCAAACTCAAATCTGCAATTTAAGGAGACCCAGTTTGGTCTAGTGCTGAAGGCACCGGACTAGAAAGCAGGAGATGGTGAGTTCTAGTCCTGCTTTAGCCACGAAAGCCATCTGTGACTTTGGGCCAGGAGACGGTGAGTTCTAATCTAGTCTAGTTCTAGCCTTAGCCATGAAAGCCAACTGGGTGACTTTGGACCAATCACCAGGAGACGGTGACTTCTAGTCCCACCTTAACTGTGAAAGCTGGATGAGTGACTGAGTCAATCACCGGGAGACGGTGAGTTCTAGTCTAGTCTAACTCTAGCCTTAGCCAGGAAAGCTGCCTAGGGGACTTTGAGCTAATCACTAGGAGACAGTGAGTTCTAATCCTGCCTTAACTGTGAAAGCTGGATGGGTGACTGAGTCAATCACCGGGAGACGGTGAGTTCTAGTCTAGTCTTTCTAGCCTTAGCCAGGAAGCTTAGCCAGCCTAGGTGACTTTGAATCAATCGCCAGGAGACGGTGAATTCTAGTCCTGCCTTAGCCACGAAAGCCACCTGTGTGATGTTGGGTCAATTATTCTCTCTCTCAGCCCAACCCACCTCACAGGGTTATTGTGGTGGGAAAAATAGGAGGGGGAAAGTGTGTCAGATTTGTTTGCCACCTGGAGTTATTTGTCAAAATAATAAAAAGCCAGAATACAAGTAAGTAAATGCCAGTGGAATACCGAAGGCTCACCTGTTGTAAGCCAAAGATCGGGGCACCGCAGTGCTGCTAACCCCTCCTGACTGGCTGGTCGACGGCTGGGGTCCCGGTAAGACGCGCTGAAGGATGCTCCGTGCTTCGTCTTTCTTGCTGTCATTGGTGCTGTTGATGCTGCTGCTGACAGGGAGCTGAGTTCGAGAGAGGGGTGTTTTCTCAGGGACCTGGGTAGGCTGGACAGGAGAGCTGCTGTGATTTCTCGCCGGTTCAGGTTTTCGCTCAGGGAAGCCAGAAGAGGCTGGATCAGCCTGGAAGAATTTCTCCCGAGCCTGCTGGATCCTGGAGCGTACCTCCATCGAAGAGGAAGCTACGGGGAGATCCGCGCTTGGGGCAGGAGGGTGCGAGCGAGACAGACTCGGGCTTGTGGAGACCCTGCCAGTTTTAGGACTCCAAGAATTGGGTGGTGGATGAGCTGCTGCTGGTTGGAGGGTCACATTGTTCTGGAAGACCCTACGTGGTTTGGGCACTGGGGATGCTGCCTGCGGCGGTTCCAGCCCCTTCCCACAGTTCCCTGAGGGGGTCTTGGAAGTGGTGGTGGTCTTCTTCTCTGCCCTGCTCTCCTGGGCAGGAGGAACCTGGGCAGGTTCAGCCCCTGCATGTCGGTTGCAAAGGAAGGTGCCCGGGCTAAGCCCGGCTTGGTAGTTTCCTCTCTGTAAAGTGCTGGAACACTTTTTGCACCTGGAAGCAAAATTTTGGACCAAATGTGACCATCTAAGAGGAGGATCAGTTTGGCTGGCTGGGAAATCTGGGAGTTGAAGTCCACCCGTCTTAAAGTGGGTAAGGTGGAGAAAGACTGGGCCAGAGTGGACTTTACAGACAACCCAATCCTTGCAGCATCCTTAGCCCTCCCCAAGCTAGACCCCTGAAGCATGGCCTAGGGGGCAAGGCCAGCCCCTGGTCGACTCCTCCAGAGGCCCATACCTAAAGCAATTCCTGTGATATAGTTTCCCGTCCATCAGGAGGCGCTGGACCAAGTGGACATGAGTTCCGCAGATGGCACAGTTGCTAGGTTGTGCAGTGTTCTTCTCGGCTAAGACCCGTCTCTGGAGGGAGAGGAAACAGGCACAAAGGGATTCAAAAGGAGCCCCCCTCCATCAAGCCTAAGACCCTTCTAGCCCCCTCCCCTGTTTTGCAGGGCAGCCTCCATTCTCTGTTCCCATTAGCTTAACCTTGCATTCACGATCGGTGGCTTCATCCTGCAATCATACCATCACAATTTGGAACTTTTGGGGGGGCAATTTCCAGTAAAAAACACCCATTGGGAGAAAGTGGATCATTTAACGATGGCGTAATTCGTTTAACGGCTATGGGGACCATTGTAAAAATGGTTGTGAAATCGGGTTCAGTCACATGGTGACTTGACTTACCACGGCAACGACTTACAATGGAAACTCCAGTCCCTACTTTGGCCGTAAGTCAACAATTACTTATATGTAAGTAGGAAGGTGGAGGAGAGGGGGTGAGGGAGAAAGAGAAAGAAGAGGGAAAGAGGTAAGTTGGTTAGAGGGTGGATGCGGTTTGGGGGGAAATGGGTGAGCAATACCGAAAATGGTCTGTATTAATTTGTCTTATTTTTTATCTGAAGTATTTTTAAGATTATATTGTATTATAAAATTGAAAATAAAATTTTTTTACAAAACAACAACAACAATTACTTATATGTGATTAATAATCCTCTGGTGTGCCACCAAGCCACTGGTCTCTTTAAATATTGTGTTATGGATTCAAAAAGGATGAGAAGCACCGATTTAGAGGATTAGAGTCCTCCTCCCTTAGCTGCCATTATTCTAAGATACACTCTGCTGATCCATGGAGGTTCTGTTCTGAAATACTCCGCTGTCATAAACACACAGAGAGAGAATCAGCCTCCGGGACAAAAGGGATGGTGTTTCGTACTTCGACTGAGGGAGGGGAGTCCATCACCAGCCTCCGCCCCACCACAGCTGGTTCTGCTTTGGGTTCAAGAAAAGACGGCCTTGCTGGTTGCGTTGAGCTTGGGGCCCTCGGCCCAGGAACCCCTCTTTTCTCGGTTGGCTGCTCACTGGGTTGGGAAGCCGGGCGCTTGATTCCAGCCATCCCTCCAACTGCAGAAAAGAAAAGATAATTGACCTGCCAAGGCTCTCGTCGTATCAAAGACACATAAAAGGGCACGATTGGATATGTTAGTCCACAAAACTGACACCAAATGCAATCTAATTTACCTGCCTTACATTATTAAGGCAGATGATTGCTTATTGAGATAACTGTTTCTTTTCCCAATTTAAAGAGGCATCCCTTCCTTCCTCTCTTCCTTCCTCCCCTCCTTCCCAGTTTCCTTTCTTCCTCCCTTCCCTTCTCTTCCCTTCCCTTCCCCTCCCCTCCCTTCTCTTCCCCTCCAACTGTCTCAGCAATTACCACTCCAGTTTTGCTGGCCTCTACTCCTTGGATATCACACTGCCTCTACCCATGGAAGCTCCATTTCTAGCTATCCTGCCCATGGCTTATGTCAAGCTGGTTACATCTTGTGTGGGGTAGGGTTTGTTGTTGTTCTTTAATCCTTCCCATCCTCTAAAGGTCTTCAGAGGCTTCATAGGAGCCATCACAGTGTGGACAGGACTTCACCTCAGCCCAACACTCAGAAGGAGGGAGTGAGAAAGAGAGAGATACTCACTGGGCGACTTGCCGTGGAAGTAATTGTAATATTGGGAGACGTAAGTGAGGATGCTCAGCCGGTCGGGCACTTTAAGGGCCACCATATCTTCAGCGTCCAGCAAAGCCGGGATGCCCAGCTCCTTCTCAGCAACCCGGAAAGCCTGTGAGATGCGAACAGAGAAGCTGAGTTGATGTCCTTCTCTTTAACCAGCCAAGCAAGAGGAGATCCATGGCCAAAGGATTTTGCAGGAAAGCCAAATCTGTGACAAGTTCAGGTCTTGAATCCTGGTCTCCTAAGGGAAACTGTGACCTCGGAACAACCCCCTGCCAGAAAAATCCATCCTCGTCCTCTTGGCGGGGTCAAGAAACAAAGAAAGCGTTTTGCAAATTGTTCTCCACCGATTGCACACTTTCTATCAAGGTCACAGACTTTTGCCATGAACAGTGGACCAATGTGGCCTGGGAGACCCCAGAACTCAACCCCGGTGTGAAGGAGAATTTTCACCACAAGGTTAAGGCGCCATTCCACCAAACGGGAGGAAGCCTCCCTACTGGGAGCGAAAGAGAAGCCGGCACGTGCAAATGAAATCCAGCGATAGAGGGGAGAGGCTGCCAAGTCTCCTAGTCCTCATAAAAAAGGCTCTTTGGTGTGGTTGAAAAAGAATCTCATCTCCAAGTGGCTCCAGGAGCTGAAGACCAGCCAGGCCACAGAAACTCAACGTGGAGGCCCAGCAACTTCACCAGGACATTCCATTCCTCTGGCCCTCAACCCACGCTCGGATTGTTGGACCAGGCACGGAGAGGATGGGTGGTCCAAGCCTGCTTCCTTCTCACAAACATCTGGGAGACTTTTCTTCCTGACAACAACTGGCTTTCCCAGGCACTCCACATCCAAGGATCTCAGGTTTCCAAAAACAGAGTAAGGAAGGGGGATGGAGGAGGATCTGGTTTCTAGAGGGGGAACCTCTTTCAGCAGCCAGATTGGGACGAGGGAGCACAAGGGACTGGCCAGAGGCGAAGGGATGAAACAATGTGCATCTAAATCTGATCTCTGATTTCTCAGGGAGGACCCCCTGGATCACCGGAAATCGGATTGGCTTTGCAGGGTTGCAGGGAGGAGGGAAATAAAGGGAGGAGAATGACTAAGGCTGGCCTGCTATCCTCAGGAGAAGAGCAGAAGAGGATGGAGAGGGAGAGATGGAGATAGAGACTGAGAGATGGAGAGGTGGAGAAGATGGAAGTGGAAAGGTGGAGAGAGAGGGGAAACAGAAACATGGACGAGGAGATGGAGATGGGAGAAGAAAGGAAGATGATGGAAATGAGGCAGAAGGGGATGGAGAGACTGAGACTGGGAGAAGAGATAGATCAGTGGTTCTCAACCTGTGGGTCGGGACCCCATTTGGGGTCGAACGGCCATTTCACGGGGGTCGCCAAACAAGGCTGTCTGCCATTTTTTCCCCCTTTTCTTTGGCCACGCCCCTGGCACCCGGTGATGTATAAGTGGTTGGGGGTCACCACAACATGGGGAACTGTATTATGGGGTCGCGGCATTAGAAAGGTTGAGAACCACTGAGATAGATGGAGATGGATAGAGAAAATAGAGATAGATAGATAGATAGATAGATAGATAGATAGATAGATAGATAGATAGATAGATGCATCAAGACTCTGTAAAACCTGCATTCAAGAATCCAACTTCCATAAATCTATTTCTGTATTCATACTGCCAGGTTTCACAACCTTCCCCTCCACCCCAAATTACATTTATGTATTTATTTACCTATCACTGTGGGCTTGTGGGCCACCTGGATGGAGCAAACCCAGCCTGCAGAACTACAATATGCCAGGTGCGCAACCCAAGGCTAAACTACCATTAGGTAGTCACCAGCTATCATTCCACATCCACTCGGTCCAGATAAATAACAAATCAGAGCCAGGTTTGTTGCCAAATGGGGTTCAGGAGGGCAACTGCTCTTGGTGCTTTGGGGCGGTCCAGACATTGACTGATAGGTCCTCATCCTCGGCCAACTTTCCCCCCATTCAAACTGAGGGCGCTGGTAATCTCGCCAAACTGGTTTTTCCAGTCTCTGCCTTGAACTGAACGCGACTGAGTTCACTTTCAAGATTAATCCACCTTTCCCTCCCCCTTATTTTTAAGGTTTGATCTCTTTCGGCCAGACTTTAGGGTTCCTCCACACCCTCAGCCTGAAGCCCATCCATGTTCAGAGTGCCTCAAGGACCCCAACTGCTCTACCAACACAGTTCAAGAACGCTGCAAACAAACAGAAAACCCAGGGAAAAATTGAGTAATCCTACGCAAGAAATGCAAACTGCTAATTTTTTTTTTAAAGGAAAGTTAATGGGGTCGAGTATTTGTTTTATGATCTGTTTGTTCTGATCAAATCTACCTGAGGTCAAGAAAGGGGAAGAAAAACAGCCTCGAGGGAAACGACGAGGAAGCGAAGGGGAGAGGAAAACCACCTTACCAATGCGTTGTTCTCGAAGACGTTTTCCTTGCTCAGGGAAGTGAAGTCTCTAAAAAAGAAAGAAAAGCAAAAGTTATAGAGAAACAAGTAACAACAGGCCAGGGTTCCTTGCCCCACCATGTTGCCTGCTCTCCCTCTAGCCAGTTTTTCCCCATCAGAGCACGCAACATATTCTCAATGTTAAGAGGTTTGTCCTAACATTCTACATAAGTCTGGAATTTACATTCCTTATGATGATGGAAGACAGTGATGGTCAGAAGCGTAAGGACGGGGTGGACTACCAAGGCAGGGCCGAGAGGCCAAAAACATCAAGATGGCGTCAGTGATGCCCATAAAAAGTGGGAGGGGCTTGTATCAGAGAGTCATAGCGGCCATGTTGACTTTGCAGACCCTCCTGAAGTCAGGAACAATCACCGAGTAACCTCAGAGAAAATTCATTTTTATTTATTTATTCAACTTTTAAAGTTGCCCAATGAAATTAAGAGACTCTGGTCAGCTTACAATTCTAAAATTATAAAACAAGTCAAACAGTGTTTTTTTAAAAATCCTGGTTTATTTATTTGTTTGTTTGTTTTGTTTATTTTGTTTGTTTGTTTTCTGCCTATCTTACCACCAGGTGATACTAATCCATCCCTGCATGCAGAAACTTAGCACATGGAGGGAAAAGAACTCCGCCAGAATGCTGTCCAGGATTTAATTTAATTTAATTTATTTGATTTACGCCCTGCCCAAACAGGAACCAGCATTTTGGTGGCTGGTTGGCCAGCTTTCTGTCTGCCAAAGGTTGTTCTAGATAAGAAGCGTTCAACCACATCAACCGTGATTAAATGCTATTTTATGGCGTCTGTTTTTAATGATTTCCCCATTCAGATAAATATTATGTTCTCTTCCTATAGTCAATGTGTGTTTTCGTGTTTTAAGTCTGGGGGTTCTTTTTTCTTCTTCTTTTTTTCTTGTTTGCATAAAAAAGAATGAGTATGAAGCAGAAGAAGAAAGGAGGGGGAAAAAAACCTTTATGGGTCTCCTAAAGAAGAGACCAACTGGAGAAAAGAAGGGTGGCTTTGTGGCTTTGTTCCCAGGGCCGTTTCTTCACTGGGGTCAGTCACATGGAAGGAAATGACAAATATGTGTCCAGCCACAGCTGGAGTTTGCCTGTTGTTCACAAACTCTTGACTCTGTGGTTGCATTCGGATGACATCAGACTGGTGAAATTTGGTGGGGAAAATTAGGAAATAAATGAGTTTTCTGTCTGGTTCTTATTGAGAAAGGGACAAACTTAGAATGTGTAATGAAGTGACAAATACTTGCAAGCTCTTAAACTTTAACTGTTAGTTGTTGTTTTTTTATTTGGGGGGGAAAAAAGTACTGTTCCAGCTGCAGACAATGGGTGTTATTATTTTGGACTTAGTTTTTAACTGGGAAAACTCAAAGCACTCCGGACTGGATGGATTTAGGGGTGATATTAATATCAAGCAATAATCTGATTGGCCTGTTTGTTGTCAGAAGTCAGGTCAGGTCCCATGAGCCAATCCCAGTCTGCTTTAATTAATTAATTAATTAATTAATTAATTAATTAATTGTGTTTTTCCCAGAGAAAATGCTGCCACTGCAAATAGCAATGTTCAAAGGTCAGAGGTCAAATGCACAAGGAGCGGTTTTATCAGAAAGCAAAAACCCATTTGAATATTTAGTGGAATTTATATACTGCAATAAACTGTTTATGGGACCTGACTTTTGGTACTCCTGTAATATTAGAGCATCTCCTTTCATCCTTGACAGTTTCAGAAAACAAAACAAAGCCAACACAAGGATAAATCCGTAAGATGATCTAACAGATTAAAAAGAAAATCAAAGTACAGTGTACAAAAAAAAAAACCGCATAGGAAAATAATCTTAAAAACAAAGCAGAATTGGGGTGCTTAATGTAGAAAAACCTAGAAATTAGACACCAAAAATGTTTTGGAAATGCTAATCCTTTGAGGAACATCTCCGGGCAGACCTTCTCAATGCATCCTTTTCAAAATTAATGAAGGTGGGATGCCAATAAAATGGAAGAAATATATCAACCCAATGCAAAGTCCTTCCAAAATACATCTTGCCCACCAAGATGCTCCTTTGGTGCAGCTTTGTGGCATCAGACCACAAACAAACAAACAAGCACACACATGCACACCCCTTTCTGCAAAAGTTTGTCCCAAACTGGGGGCTCCCCCACTTAATTTGCGCCAGACAAATTTAGAAGGGGACAGGATGGGGCAGAGGCTGCGCCCTCTGTGAGATGCCCAACAGCCTGGGCAAAGGCCCTGCCAAGACAGAACACTGTGGACCAAGGACCTCTGGCTTTTGAGGTTCCAAGGGTAGACTGCCTCAGAAGCTGGAAGCTCCCCTCAACTTCCGCTGGGAAAAATGAGCAGGTCCTCCCTCCCTTTCCCCACTCCCCCCCCCATGTTCCCCTTCCAGGGAAGGGACCCCCAGCACGACTCACATGAGGTCCGGCCTGTGGCGGTGCAGGATGGCGCAAAAGGCCAGGCCGTCCCGGAACGAGGTGGTCATGTTGGTGATGGAGACGTCCCTATAGCCTTCGCACTGCTGCTTGCACCAGAGCTGTAAGGCTTGGATGGGGGACATCCTGAAGGATGGCGGGGGGGGGCAGCAGAGAGAGTGGGGGGGTGGGAAATCAAGCAGAAAAGAGGGGTGGAGAGGAAAGCAGGGAGGAGTGGGGGAGGGTCAAGCAGGAAAGAGGGATGAGAAAAAAGCAGGAAGGAGGAGTGGGGGGTCAAGCAAGAAAGAATGGAAAAAAGCAGAAAGGAGGAGTGGGGGGGTCAAGCAGGAAAGAGGGATGGAGAGGAAAGCAGGAAGGACGAGTGGGGGAGGGCCAAGCAGGAAAGAGGGATGGGGAGAAAAGCAGGAAGAAGGAGTGGGAACAAGGCAGCGAGAGGCGCCGGGGCTGGTCTTTCTGGAGAAGGAAAGGCTGAGTCGGGAAAGTGGGGAGGGGGCCTCTCCCCCTCTCCAAAAGAAAGAAGGAGGGGGAAAAGGGCAAGAAGAAGGACAAGAACAACTTTCCTCCGCGGGCAACGCCAACTACTACTACTTCGCTCTCCGCCGGGATCTTCACGCCTCCTGCAAGGCGCCGCCCCCGCCTCGCCTCGCCTCCCGGCCGGAGGGGCCGCCGCGCAGCTGGGAGGCTCCCCAGGCCAGCCCCGGGCGCGATCCAGGCGGCCGGCGCGCATCTCCCGCCGGAGGACCCCCGCAGCCCCGCGGGAGCAGGAGGCAAGGCGAAGGCGGCGTCCGGCGCTCGAGGGGCGCCCGGAGCCGCGCGGAGCTCTCCAAGCGCCCAGCCGGTGCTGTCCGAGCGGACCTGGGCTGCTGCGGAGCCGCGGGCCGGGCGAGGAGAGCAGCCAATGGCCGCGGCGGGGCGGGAGCGGCCGGCCCGGCCGAGAGGCGCCGGCTCCGCCTTCCGACGCGGGGAAGGGCGCAGCCAGGCAGGCGAGCGGCGTTCGCACGACCCGGACCCGCGTCTGCTGGAGGAGGGCCAGGCGAGCCTCCCTCCCTGAGGCTGGCGGAGGGGGAGCCGGGGGGGGCTTGTGGGGAGGGTCGCTACGGGGGTTCCCAAGGGCGGGGGAGAGAGAACGGGGCAACCAGTTTGGGCCAGTTGGCTGGAACCAGAGCTCCAGGAGGGTGCAAAAAAAAAAAAAAAAAGCTTGGCAGGGTCCCGGGGCCCAAAGAGGCGGAAGGGCCAGATTGGGGAAGCCCCCCCACGCTGGCCCCGTCCCCAAAAGGAGCCCCCAAAGAGGTTGCCGAACCCGCCCCGAACGGAACCGCTTTGCAAAGGACCCCGGAGCGGCGCCACCCCAGCAGGCAGTTGCCGGTGCTGCTGATCCCTCCCCAGTTAAAAAGCTGCCTTTAAAAAATCCGCCCCCCCCCCAGGAAGGAGGGTCGCCGTTGTGATTCTGCATGAAGCCCTGCTCTGACCCCAGCAGGCCCTTTGGGGGGGAGGGGGAGGGAGTGAAAGATTTTGCATTTGGGAGGAAACGCACCTGAATTCTTCCAGCGCACCCCGGCTCAAGAGGAGGAACGGGATTTCTGGCTGTCCCGGATTCTGGAAAGAAAAATTTGGGAAAGTTCACGCAAACATTAATTTGATCACAGTTGCTCCTCTCTTAGCTGCTTGGGGGCAGATAGACCTTTGTCGAATGGGTTATTTTTGTATTTATTTACTTTACATCCTGCTTTTATTGTTTTTTCAAAACCAGGGGTCCTCAATCCACACACAAACGAGCAAAGCCCCATCCATGGGATGCAGTCAGCACACAAAACTCTCGGGTCCATGGAAAAACCTTTCTCAACGGAACCGGTCCTTGGTTCCCAAATGGTTGGGGGCCTCTGTTCTAAACTACTCAAGGAAGCGAAGGTATGCATACGCATTCCTTCTCCTCTTTTCCCCACAACAATTGGACTGGCCCAAAGTCACACAGCCGGCTTTCATGTCTAAGGCGGGACTAGAACGCGCAGCCTCCTGGTTCCCAGTGTGGTGCCTTAACCACTAGACGAAACTGGCTATATAGAGATGTGTGAAGCATCACACTCGGATATTGTCAGTTGCTGTGTCCCAATCACACAAGGAAACCACGAGGAGTGAGCGGCCGGGTGTGAACAGGCCTTCGCTGCAAATGGGCCCCCGTCAACAACTTTGTGGCAAAAAGCTCCATTCTCAGCTTGAGCCAAAGAACTTTCTGCAGAAAATTCCTTGGCTCAAGCTGAAAATGGCCATAAGCTGGTGGTTCCTTGCATGCAACGATCGTACATGCGAGGACCAAGTCGTAAATTACTTTTTTCCCCAGTACCGTTGTTACTTCAAACAGTTTGCTGAATTAAGTTGAGAATTATTTGCACTTATATTCTGCAGGGATGCAAAATTTTCCCTTTTTCCACTGAAACGAGTCATGAATTGCCATGAATTTCATGGCAGAAATCGGGCATATTAGTTCCTTTACCCTGCCTGGATATTGAACTTTGCAATTGGCTGTTTGTTATTTTATTTTATTTATTTTTATTTAGTCCATGTCTTACTAGGGAGAGAGAGGGATATGCCCAACCTATAAATCAGCCACCCGGAGTCTCTTGCTTGACAGGTGGCATATAAATTTAATAAATAAATAATAAATTATGGAGAATAACAAAAGAGGATTTTTCTCCTCGTTTTCATCTCAGGTCTGTTTCTTTGCTCCCGGCCCAGAGTCACTTTTAAGCCACAGCAGTGGAACGAGAAAAAGGGGAAAAAAAAAAAAAAAGATTTCTGCAATTCAGAGAAAATGTCAGAAAAAGCCCAGAAGATTGTTGAAGACGCAGCCTGCCTTCTGCCTGCGCTGTGTCAGGCGAAATGACAGGAGGAGTCTCTCCCCCCTCCCTTCGGAAGCGCTGGTGCCTATAAATTGGGTGGAAAGGATTAATAATACATGCCATATAATATATTCATGATAGTTCTATGGGCATGCTATGGATAATATACATTAATATATAACCACCCTTACAAATAATTCACCGTGTTCTCTCCCATCTAATTACTGGTCACCGGGCAGCCTATTTACTTTATGGTGAGGATTAGGAAAGGCAGTAGGACTGTTGAGCCCCATCCCAAATTTCTTTTTTTTCCTTTCCTTTTTTTTTCCTTTCTCCCTCTCTCCTTCTTTTACTTTCCTCCCTTTTTCCTTCCTTCCTGCTTTTTCTTTCTTTCCTTCCCTCCCTCATCCTAAATTTATTTTTTTCTTTTCTTTCCTTCCTTCCTTCCTTCCTTCCTTGTAAAGCACCCCCATTCATTGGATTATTAATGGATTCCCAAACAGTCCCGGCGCAAACAATGCGGCATGAATATTTGATGGGCCATCCAGAGCCGGCCCATTCATCATTTATAACAGGCTGCAAAAACACGATAAAACATTTATTATGTGTTTATAGATCACTTCATACCAAAGCAAAGTTGTGTTATAAATGCATTATTAATCCTCCACGCCGTTTATAGGAATCTCTTGTAATAAGGATTTACCATATGTTGCTCTACAACAGGGATAATAAATAGGATGTCGGCAGCTGACAGAAAATAGATGGCCGCTGAAGACTTTTTCCTCTGCAGCCGGTCCTGGCCGAGGGAAGGAAGCCACTTGGACATCTGCCGGCCTTTAGATAAAGCGAGGAAATCAAGGGTGTGCCCGGGAGCTGGGCAGAAGACCTGAAGGAAAGCTCAAAAACAGTTTTTAGCTCAGGACTGGCCTTAACCAATAAAACTTGGCACGTTTAGGGCTGCCTTAAAGGGCCCGCTCCAGCCTAGCGCTGGCCCTGGGTTCAAGGCATCCGTCCATTCGTGAGTCTTCCTCCTCACCAGCCCTGACTCTTTTTCCGTTTCCTGTTTCCCTTTCTCTTCTTCATCTAAGCCTTACAAATATGCACATATATCCTCCAGATGCGTTAATATAAATAAAACAAAGAAATGGTTGCATTCAGTTGCAACGCTGCCAATGCAATGGTTGCATTTCACATTGCATTGCGTAACCTGTCTTACCATGCTGGATTGATTTATCTGATAAAAAAAACTGAAAAGGGAAATAATTCTGTTCTTCTGTGTTCTGAAGAGGAGATTTCTGGGGTGTCTCGGGAGAGATACAGGGAGTCCTCGACTTATATGACGGCAATTGGGGCCACAATTTCTGTTGCTAGCCAAGGTGGTGACTGAATGGATCACATCCAATTTTACGACCCTTTTTTGCCAAGGGTTTTTAAGTAAATCGCTGCAGTTGTTAACTTGTTAAGCAAATTTAGCTTCTCCCATTGACTTTGCTTATGGGAAGCTATTTGGGAACGTCACAATTGGAGGACCCCTGACCCCAGGAGGCTAAAACCGTTGTAAATACATGCCAGTTGCTAGGTGCCTGATTTTGATCACATGACCATGGGGATGCTGTAACGGTCGTTGAGTGTGAGGACCGCTCGTCTTTTTTTCAGTGCCGTTGTAATTTCAAACGGTCACTAAATAAAACAGTTGTACGTCGAGAACTACCTGGAATCCCACTTCAGTCCGAAGCCCAGATTGATTCATCCCACCAATTCTTATAAAGAGGGGTTTCACCTCCCTTCTTTCAAGATTGTCCCAGTCTCTAAAATTTGCCCTGCAAATAGTGATCAAGGAAATAGCAATTAAAAATCCGGTGGAGGGAGGTGGAATTGTGGGCTAGTGATAAACCAGAATCAGTATTTAGTGGCTGCTCAGCTTCAGATCGCCCTCAAATATTAACCAATTAACCTCTTCTGCTCTGATGAGGGAGCTAAATTAATATTACGAGGCCCAGCCGGCTGGCAGCTAGCAGCTTTTGCCAAAGAGAACCCAAGGCTTTGCAAAGGAAAAGGTTTATTTTGGAGAAAATGTCACCAGAGATAGCTTGGTGTCCGGTTTTGAAGGTGTTATGGACAGGGGATTCTCCTTGGGTGCTTCCTGAGCCCCAAAACGGACCAAACTTGGTTCAATTTGTTTTCTTTTATAAGCAGAAGCCTCTTTGGGTACATCAAGGTCCAAAATTTAACAGCAGCAATGCCTTTTAAGAACGTTTGGAAAATAGCATGGAGCCCCTTCCGTTTGTTCCAAAATCCCAAAACCTCAACTGGGCATCTGCTCTTGGTTTCTCCAAATCGGCCCCTTACAAGCAGGATCCGTTTGGCAGAACTTCCTGGTGCAAAACAGGCCGGGTTTCCAGCTGCAATGCTTTAAAAGGAAAAGGAGGCTCCAGTCCCAATTTCTTAATTTATGGGGATTAACTCTTACCGAAAAACCGGGTAGAATGGCCAATGTTTTTGGCTTCTTCAGTTTTGTGGCTTTTCATAAGATTTTTTTTTCCTTTTTTTTCTACGTCCACCCTCCTTTCGGTTACCAGCTGTTGCACCCACAAGCCGTAGCTGCTTTTATGTCCTACATACATGGATCAATATAGATTATCCTTGCTTGTTTAGCAACCAAAGTCAGAACAGCACTGGGACTCTTTTTCACACTTTACGACTGTTGCAGCGTCCCTACGGTTGTGTGATCCAAATGCAGCCACTGGGCAACTGGCTGGCATTTATGACGGTTGCAGCATCGTGGGTGTCACGTGATCCACTTTTGTGATTTTTTTTGACAAGCAACGTCAATATCTTTGACGCCATTGGACACACGTTCAAAATGGTGTCCTGCCGCTTTAAATTAAATTTGTTAGCAAAAATCTCAATTCTCTTCTTTCTTTAGGCCATTTTTTTCCCCTCCGTACCCCATTTTTTTTCTCTTTGTCCTTTCTTCTCTCTCTCCCTTGCCCCTCTCCGGAACTCAAGCTCTGCAAGAAAAATGCCTAGCAACAATTAAGAATTTCATTATGATACAATAGGACAGTTATTGCACCAGCATAATTATTAAGCTATAATTGCTAATTGTCTTATTAGCATTTAACAATTATGCAAATAAGGGCAAACAGGCTGTAATGGCAATAAAATGACTCCTTTTATTTTTACACTAATAAAAGAGATTGCAGATTGCGGGTGATGGCTGTTTTGCTCTTTGGGAGTTTATGGGAAATAGCTCAGGAGCCAAACCAAGCACTGGGGCGATCTGGGGGGTGGGTGGGCAGGGGGCTCGGGGGGGGGGGAGGGCAAGGGTAAAAGCAGCCTCATTAAACCTCAGATGTGCTTGGGATTTTTGCAGTGGGCAAGTTATCTAGAGCCCCACTTCCTGCTCTGAATTCTGCCTGAATAAAGGAAGCAAGAGGCGAGCGACAAGGAGGCGGCAGAACGCAGAGTCAAGCAGAGGGGCGGCAGGCAGCCTCCTGTCCAGCAAACTGGCACCCCCTTTTGGACACGGCAAATTTCCAAATAGGGTCGTAATATTTCATTAGTGAATAAATACTAAAAGCTGCTGAGAGTCTCCACAGAGGAGAGACACTCCCATCATCGTATCATATTCCTCTTCTGGATAAACCAACGGGCACCCTCACCATGTTTTGGACTACAATTCCTATATTCTTTTGATATCAATGCACTGGGAGAAACTCATGGAGTCCAAGCATCCAAAAAGACATGGATTGCCAACTCCTGTTTTTAAATTTATTTTTTTGCACTAAGTTGCCGACGGGAGCCTGTTGACTGGGTGAGGCTGCATATATGAGCACCTCCAGATTCACCGGGCGCCCTGTTTCGCTTCAGCAAATAAATCAATATATTTGCAAAATAAATGTGCTAATAAAAACCCTGCAAGGAAGTCATCTAATGCAGAGAGACTTCTTTCATGCAGGGCTTCGGGGATGCAAATTTGTGTGAGCTGCGCCCCCGCCAAAAAAACCCAAACCTCACGGATGCAATTCAAATCTTGAAAGACAATCTCTACAATTGGAATAAATTAAGCCTAGGGAACTCTTGAAAGTGTTGTACCTTATTTAAAATTCTACACTCTGATTCCACTACTAAAGAATAAAGAATATTATAAATAATAAAGAATATAAAATAATATTCTACTCTATTCTATTCCCTATTTTCCGTAGAAATTCTGCAAAGGGGGGAAGAGAAGTTGAAGGAACTAAATTTGGATTCAAAACCTGAAGGAAAATTTCTGCAATTGGAATCAATTAAGAAGCCCTGAATAATTTTACCATATTTGGAATTTTTCCACTGACCTTTCCAACTTGGAACTATTTTCTCCAGGAATTTTCCAGGGGGTGGATGGGGAAGGGAGAGAAATTTAAAGCAGCTGAATTCCAGCTATTTCCCCCCCCCCCAATTTCCTCGGAAAGCAGACCAAGCCAGGCACCGAGTCTGCAGCGCTCACAAATCTGTCCGGTCGCTGGCCCGAGTCAGCGCTAAAAGCCACTTGGTGGCTGGTAAGCCAAATTCATCATCCTTAAGCTGCCCGGGGAAACCACACTGTGATTAGCCTCGGATTTCATTTCAGGCCCTCCGTGGCCACTAAAGCCACATGCCGAAGCCAACGCGGCCAAATATAAACGGTTCGGTTTTTTTCTCCAGAGGTGGAAGCAATTTCCGAGATGAGAATCTGGTGGCCTAAGGAGGATTTGAAGTCCTGGCCGAGGTGAAGATGGAGAGAGGGGCCGGTGGGTCGAGGAAGGCAAAGCAGATCCTTCTGAGACCTCCATCTGGCCCTCCCAGAGGCAGTTTGGTAGATTCCTATTCCAAGATAGAGTGCCCCTAACTGTGGATGTGATGGGGACAATTGCCTAATCCGTCTCTTGGGGGCAGGTTGCCTTTTGGCACGATGGATGGCTACTACGATCGGCTTTTCCCAATTTTCCCTTTTATACACGCAGTCCTGGACTTGCAAGGTTTCATTTAGTGACCATTCAAAGTTACAACGGCATTGGAAAAAAGTGACTTAGGGCCATGTCAGGCGTGCCACTGTTGCAGCATCCCTGTGGTCACGTGATCAAAATTCGAATGTTTGGCCACTGGCCCGTACTTACGATGGTCGCAGCACCCCGGGGGTCATGCGGTCTCCTTTTGCGACCTTCTGGCAAGTAAAGTCAATGGGGGAAGCCAGACTCACTTAACAACCGGGTGACTAGCTTATCAACCGTAGTGGTTTACTTAACCGAGGCAAGAAAGGCCGTAAAATGGGGCAAAACTCACAGAACAAATGTCTTGCTTAACAACCACTCAGTTGTGGTTGCAAGTTGAGTTCTATCTGTATTGTCTAGCCGTGATTCTCGTACGACGAAACCAAAAAATATTGGGAAATCCAAAGGAAGAGTTGTATATTTGGAAAGTACACGAAAAAGAAAGTTTTAATTTAAAAAGGGTAAGAAGAATGACTGGATCGTTGCTCAAGAGATGTTTGGATACTCTACAGCAGACGTGTCCAACCTTGGCAACTTTTAAGATCTGTGGACTTCAATTCCCAGAATTCCCATAGCTGGCTGGGGAATTCTGGAAGTTGAAGTCCCAACAAGTTGCCAAGGTTGGATACCCCTGTTCTATGGGATGGAATTTGATCCCCAGGAAGAGTTTAATGAAGCGCCCTATTTTTTTTTTTAGCTCCACTCCCTCAAGACAGGATTATTCCTTCTGCTCTGCCTGTGCCCACAGATGAAGAACCATGAGGATGGAGAAACATCTTCCTTCTCCATCCAACTGGGATCCAGAATGGAATAAATCCTAGGATCCTTCAAGTCTTTTCTTCGGCTGGAAATGTTCCAGCAGGTAGATTTTGGTCTTCTCCACAAAATTCTTCTCTTCTCAAGAGCTGCTAGCCAGCCATCTCAGACAAGGTCCCCATCTTCACCGCTCACATCATGGCCTCCATGTGCAAAACCTTCAAGGCTTCTGAGATCTGGGTGCTGGTGTCCACCTGCCCGTACATCCCCACCAGGAAGGCCCTCTGCAACAGGGCTGCCGCGTGTTCTGCAAAGGGGACGGGGAAGGAAACGTTAAGGAGGTTGTGTGAAATGAGCCACCTTTGGGGGGGGGGTGAAAAAAAATCCTTCTTTAGGGCCAGATCAGAAATGCGTCAGGCCTCACCTTGGCAGAGAAGGGTGTACTCAGGCAGATTTCTCAGGGCTGTCTGAACGACTTCGAAGTCGCAGCTGCCGAGGCAGTACATGAAGGTGGGCAGGAAATCCGCTGCAATGCTGCAGGTTTGAAAAAAGGGAAGGAGAGAAAAAGAAAGACACACATAACAAGAAATGAGGAGGGTAAGAATCAAAGGTAACCTCTGCTAGATCAGGCCAGCCAGAAATAGGGTTAGGGGTCTTCTCTGGCGGGTCCCTCCTCACAGCCGGGCCCTGACCTCCTCTTAGCCCCTCCCCTCCGTGCCCCGGTACCTGGGATTATGCTGAATGGAGCGCAGAGCGAGGCTGAAAGCCAGATTCCGGCAGACCTCCTCTTCGGAGTTCATCAGTTTCTGCAAGTGAGTCTGAGAAGGGGAGAGAGGGAGGGGCGGGGGGGGGAATATCTGGTGAGCGTTGCCAGGGATGGCATACATATGGAGTGCTGACTTCGATTGTTTGCAGATGTTTCATGACCCAACTAGGGAACATCATCAGTGCTAGAAGGGAGGGTGGGTGGAAGGAGGAGGAGGAGGAGGAGGATTGACTTACAGAAAAGAAAGCGAGGATTTCCGGCCTCCGCCGAGCCATCTCATCAATGTCGGTCAGCACCTCCAAGATATCTGAGAATTGGAACAGAGACATAAGAGAGCAATTTGAAACCGATTTAAAAAGTATAAAAAAATGGCAGGGAAGGGGGAAGCTCCCCATTCGCAGAGAGCTTTCGGATATTCAAAAAAGTGCCCCTTTGCAATGGGGCTGCCCCACGTGTTGGCATCAGCTTTCATTGGCTGTAAATAGATTTCACCAAGGCAGCACAGCTGGCTGGAGAATTCTGGGAGTTGAAGTCCACACCTCTTAAAGCAGCCAAGCTTGGAAAAAACACGGCACTAAGGAGTTTTGCAGAGTGCCTAGTACGGGATACCCCGAAGTCGAAGACTCTCCGGGGATCCGACTTCCAAGTCTGCCACAGGAAAGGTGGGGTGGGAGCCTCACTCTTACTTACCCTCGACGTTCTGGCCCCTGGAGAGACTCTTCATGTAGGGGGCCATTTCTGCGGGGGTGAGAGGCGTGAAAAGGGAGACGCTGACCAGGGGCAAAGATCCGGCCGCAGCCTCATCTGAAACGAGACCACCAATGGACGTTTCCCTCCGGACACCAGAAGGGGAGCCCCTCTTGTGAGGTTCTCTCTCCCTCCGCCAGCAGGGGCGCTCTTTCCCACTCCCTTCTGTGGGGCAGGACTGGCCAGAGGCAGGACAGGCGGTTCTCAATACAACTCCCGTTTAGTGACCAAAGTTACAAACGGCACTGAAAAGAACGGCTTACGACCAGCCTTCGCACTTAATGATGGTCGCAGCAGCACGGGATTAAAATTCTGGCGGTTGGGAAGTGGCATTTCTGACGAGGGTCACAGTGATCCCCCTCCCCAGCCAGCTTCCAAGAAACAAAGTCAATGGGAGTTTGGATTCGGTGAAGGAGTGTGTGTGATTCATTTAAGGACGGTGTGTGATTCATTTAAGGACTGTGTTATTCACTTAAGGACTGCAGGAAAAAGGTAGCAAAATTGGATAGGGGCTCTCTTAACAACTGTCTGGCTTACTTAGCCACAGAAATTGTGCTCTCATTCGTGGTCTACTGCAGCTACCAATCCCATCATCCAAAATGCCACCTGTGAAGTGGCGACTTTAGTGGTCCTCAAGGTGGCCCTTCCTGAGCTGGCCACTTTCTGGTGGGCTGGCACTGCGAATCCCCCAACTCTCAGCCAGGAGGGGCCTCAAGGCCCCACACCTGGCGGGGACCACATCTGGGAAGACTAATCCTGGCCACCACTCCCCAGAGTCTCCCATTCCCCAAAGGCGCTCGAACACTTAAGGGCCCCTGCCCCAAACTGGACCGTCTTCGGAGGTGGATACTTCCCAGAGCAACCAACCTCCAGGCCATTGTTCTGTTGAAGGACCCGGTTTGTACACAAACCAGATATCCCGATTACTCAAAAAGCTCCCCCCGCAAATGCACCAGGATTATCTGCTTGGGGACAAACCGGGTGACTCACCTCCCAACTATCTGCCAACAAAGATCAGACACTCACCGTTCTTTTCATCTTCAGCTCCCCAATCTGAAGCACCGGCCCGACTGGGCAAACTGAGACCGGCCAGGAGAGATTTCAGCATGGCCAGGTCACTGTTGTCCGAGGAAAGGTCACTGCAGAGAAGCCAGAGATAAGCTCTTGTGCTTTAGCCACCGATGCCCCACCGGGACCGAGGACAGAGGACTTACTGGAGGGGATCGGAGTGCTTCTGCAGGAAGGAGACGGCGGCCGGGGCGTTGGAGGTGATGTACTTGTGAATGAACTGCACGAATTTGGTGATGAAGCAGGCGAGGTGGCGAGAAGACTTCCGGTAGCTCTGAAGCAGAGAAGGATCGGGGACAAGTGAGGCCTCTGAAGCAGCCTGGGGAGAGCCCAGCTTCTAGGATCTTCTTAGGACTGACTCACAGAGACGGACAACCCCTCTCCCTCCACTTCACAATCCTCCCCCCCCTCTTTTCTAGCACTGATAAAATTCCCTAGTTGGGTCATGAAACGTCTGCAAGAAAACCATCAAGCTCAGAAAGCAACAAGGACTCCACAATTTGACCCTGAGCCTCAGAGATTCTCTTCCAAATGCCATTCTAGAATGACCAGAAAGGCAACTGGATGTCCTGCAACTGAGTCTGCTCTGAGCTATCATCACCCAATTCTGCTGGAGACGATGCTGGCCTTCTGGGATTCCTGTGGATACCTGTTGACATAACTCTCTGGCATCCTGGTGTGTGTGTGTGTGTGTGTGTGTGTGTGTGTGTGTGTGTGTGTGTGTGTGTGCCTGCAGGACACAGCAACCCCCCCTTCCCCAAAGCCGCCCCCCCTTCCCCTACCAGAAGCAACTGAATGAAGGAAAGGAGACAGTCCCATAGCGCCCCCTGGTGCTCGCTCTGGAAAACTTGCGGCTGCAGGAGCTCCAGAATGCCCAGGACATGGAGGAAGAAGGCCAGATGCTTCTGCTGACGGAATTCCTGGAAATTGAGGTGGATCCGGCCATGCAGCAGAGCAGCGATCATTGGCAGGTGCCTGGGAAGGGACACAGGAGGAGGAGGACCCAGATTAGGGTTTCTGGCAGGGGGAGGCAGGGCGGTCGCTGTCTATGAGTTGGGTGGCTAAATAAGTTTGATAATAAAAAAAATTGCAATCTCAAAATATCTGGAGCATCACTTGAACGCCGTCGGCATTGACAAAATCCCCATCGGTCAATTGCGAAAGGCAGCTTGACTTGGAACAGCTGACAACCTACTATGAAACCTCTAACCCAGTGGTTCTCAACCTGTGAGTCGGGACCCCATTTGGGGTCAAAAGACCATTTCATGGGGGTCGCCAAACCATGCTGTCCGCCATTTTTTCCCTTTTCCCTAGCTGTCCTACTCCCTCTTATTGGTGGCCACACCCACTTGGGGGTCACCACAACATGGGGAACTGTATTATGGGGTCACGGCATTAGAAAGGTTGAGAACCACTGCTCTAACCCCACCGAACATCCACATCTGCCTATCCCAGGTCCTTGAGAAGGACTCGATACGTGGATAAAAACATCCCAAATCCAGTCTAAACATCTGGCTGACTGCGCGACCGATTACAATAACCAAACTTGGGGAGAAGGAGCTCCTTTTTGAGCTTTGCTGCTCAAAGATCTGAAGAAAGGGGGAGGGGAGGACTCTAGCCTAGAGGAAAAAGGACAAAATCAACCCCCCTGCAGCAGGAAGATGCCAACAAGGCTGCGTGGGAGTGAGACTCTGGAAGCAGACGTAATGCCTCCCAGTCTTTGTGCAGCCAAAAACTCTTAAATAAAACACCCCCAAATGAACCAAGAGGGCCACGAACCTGAGCAGCAGGAGGGGGTGAGCCACGGCCAGCTTCCGACATGCCATATTGGCGTCCCAGAGCCGGCCTTCGTTCATCTTCACATCGCCGGCGTCTGCAAGGAGGGTGATGAACCGGTGGATCAGGCTGTCCAGCTGCAGAGACATGGACGTATTGAACAGGTAACCTAGGGATGTCCAACCTTGGCGAACTTCAATCTGGCCAGCATGGAGACTTCTGGGAGTTGAAGTTCACGAGTCTTAAAATTGCCAAAGGTGGACACTCCTGAGCTAACTCTTGCAATTCCCATGCCCTTACATAAGACACATCTGCTTCTCCAGCTGTTACTGATTCTGCTTTTCATCCTCTTTCTCGGGCGAATTGAAAAACCTAACAGCAATACCCTGCTTTTCCTCTGGATAAATTGTTCTTACATCGGTCACTGACCGTAATCAAGAGTTTGGTTTGATTCGGGCAAAGTGAGAACAAAGCCGAGGGGGGGACTCAAAGCTGTCAGCAGCACGACATTCCCAGGACGAGAGACTGGCCCAAGGTTACCCAGCTGGCTTCGTGCCTTAGGCGGAACTAGAACTCACAAGCTCCTGGTTTCTAGCCTGGGGCCTTCACCACGACACCAAAGTAAGCCTCTTGAATAAAAGTAAGCCGCTAATAAAAAGCCACCCAGAATCGCCTTGTGGGTGAGATGGGCGGCAAGCAAATTTAATAAATAAAAATAAATAAATCACAAAAACAGGAAAGGGTGAATGAACACACGAGCAGCTGTGGAGGAGAGGGAGACTTCTAAACTTGGGAGAGCCACACAAAAAGTACCCTGCAGGAATCTGTGACAAACGTCTGGCCCAATCGGAGCAAAATTACCTTGCAGGGGCTGCTGTCAGTGGCTCCTTCGCAGGAGAGCAGAGCCTCGGGCACTGGAACCAAGAGCTCCGGTAGCTGAAGGTACATTTGTAGGAGGAGATCCTGGCCATGTTTTCCCATTGAGCTGAAATGGAGATGAAGATCAGACCTGTCCAATCAAAACAGCCCTTGCAGATTTAGCAGCGCTAACATTCCCATCCAAGGTCATATTTTGCTGCTGGGATTTGCAGGAGATACTCCCTGATTTGGAGGAGGAGGAGGAGGAGGAGGAGGAGGAGGAGGAGGAGGAGGAGGAGATGATTCAGCTCAATCAGTCTTGCAAGACTTGTCCATCTCAACAGTTTTCAAATTTCTGCACAGCTGATTTTCCTGGCCTGCTAGTCAAACCGCTAAAAACCTTTATTGATTTACCTCAACAGGAGTTAGGCTCACCTCTTTCCCCACTTCTGGATGGACGAGATTAGGTATCCGGTGACCTTTTGGATCCTCTGCACGTTTCCATGGCAGCAGCTGAGGAGAAGTGGCAGCCGAGACTGGGTGACCAAGCAGCTGGTGCCTTTGGGGTCTGGGGTTCTGTTTTCTGATTCCGCCAGGATGAGGTCCACCAAGCTCAGCAGCTCAGAGGTCTTCAGACGGAGGATAAACTCTTCTCGGCGTTTCTATCAGCAGCCGGAAGAAATGCATCAAGCAAGCGCAAAAGGAAACGGATCCAAAGGGCCGGATCAGTTCGGGAGATCGCAACAAGTGTCTCACTTAGCCAGAGAAATTTTGGGCTCAACTGTGGTTATAAATCAAGAACTGCCTGTATTTGAACGCTGCTAAACAGATGGATTAAAAATGGCCCAGTTATTCTCCCAACCCAAGCAAGGATGACCAGAGGCATCACCAGATCTCCGTTTTACACTATATCTTCTTAATCTGGTAGGCGTCATGCTGGCCACACAGCTCCCACCAATTACGATCCCTTTATTTGTCTTTATTTGTTAGATTCCTATCTAGGGAACTTCCATGGTTGGACTGTGGTGGAATGGCGAAGAACGTGGAGACTGCAATTAGTTTTCCTGAACCACAAAAGGTCAACAAGAGACTTCACCGGCATCCATCCATTTCAAAATGTGTCTTCTTCTTGACCGCTGCAGTCCCACGCCTTCTCCAACCCAACACGGTGGCCCATCATAGTATCAGATACTTGGTTTGCAAGATGCTTTGAGGAACGCATGATTCCGTTGAAGTGGGACAACATACCTGCGGGATCCTTTGGTCTCTCCCTTGCCAGATCCGGGGCATGTGAATGCAGGCCCACAAGAAATCCAAGGAAGCTGCTGGGTCAAAACTGTTGGAAGAGATCAAGGTGAGGATGCAGGGCTCTCTCTCTCTCTCTTCTGAACGGAGAACCACCCAGCCTGCTTTCCTTGGAGAGCCCTCTGCTTTGCCCAAGTCCCACTTCCCAGACTTTCTGGGTTCCAGGCAGCTCACCTGCCCTCTTGCTTTCGGCAAAGCAGAGTCCTGATGCAACAGTGAAGGGTGGACCAGCTGGACTGGTGAGTAAGGAGGGCCAGAAGGTACGGACGGAAGGAGGGCGGCTCCGATTCAGAAGAATCTTGATTCTGCAAAGGGAAAAAGGAAGGTTAGAAAAGGGGCACAAGCAGGCTAGCAGGAAGTGTCAATGAGGCCAAGCAAAGATGAAATCTCTAGAATAGATCACAACTCAATACTCAAAATTGTTCCTGCACCTTCAGTTCTTTCCCTGTGTTGTTGTTGTTTTTCTATGTTTTCTGAAAGATCTGCATCGGGCTCCCCAATTCTTCCTTCTTAAGCTTGTTTTAGATCCAAAATATGTTTGCTTGTGAGAACGTTAAGGATTCTAAGTTAATGATGTGCTTGACTCCGCCCTAGACTCTGCCTCTTCTTCTCATACACTGGCCAGGCAGATTCTACTTGCAGATCCCCCAAACCACAAGGAGCCCAGACTGTGTAGGGCTTCCCAGCTCTGAAGGGATGGCGATTTCTCAGCATTGACCCATGTTCCAGACCGATCCTCACCTTATCCAAGGAGAACAGCAATTTCTGCTGAAGATCAGGGCAGCTGCTGACGATTTCTGGATCCAGCAACTCCAGCCAGTCGATGAAGAGACCAGAGGCGCTTTCGACACTGAAGGGAGAACAAAGCAGGGGGTGGAAAAAGGGAACCAAGTGCACAGAGGAGCTGAGAAGGAGCCCAAACCCACCCCAATCCCAACCTGGAGCTCTCTGCTTCTTTCTTAATTAGGCCTTCCTCTCTGCACTGCAGCAACAAGGAGGTCACCACCGAGATGGGCCCAGAGGCAGGGAAATGGGGCATCATTTCCGTGGCAACGGAGAAGAGGGTCACCAACAACTCCTCCAGATACGGTGAGCGCGTTTTGGTCAGGCCTTCGAGGACTGGGTGGGAGAAACAAAAATGTTCCGAGACTCAGAGGAGGACAGGGAAGGCAGAAGAAACGGGAGGGGGAGGGTTGTCAATCCTACCTTTGCTGACAAGCTCTGGTACCACGTTCCATGTTTTGCTGGACTTCAAGGTGGCCACGATGGCACGGACGGTGGAGCCGATCACTTCAGAGTTGTGGCAGAAGGCCAGCGCATCGGCCAGGTGCAAGAACCCTGCTTGGGCTGCAGTTACGGAAAGGAAAGGGCTGTGAAACTGCATGGAATGTAGACGGGCTCTGCTTGGGAAGGGCCTCTGGTTCCAGGCCTGCTAATCAGGTCAGAGAGGTTAAATGTGTGTGGACTTCAACTCCCAGCTGGCTGGGGAATTCTGGGAGTTGAAGTCCACCGATCTTATTTTGCTCAAGGTTGAGGCCACAAATAAAATGCAGAGAGTCTGAAGAACCCCCAGACCACAGACTGACTCCCGCAGACATGGCTCAAACACGGATGCTTGTTTCCTTCCAGGTTCTGCTCTCCCCCCTTATTCCTATTTTGGGCTGGTGCATGAACCCCCATCCCTTAAGGAGCCACACTTAATGGCTGCATTCACAAAACACCCAAAGCTTCATTCGGATTTTGATGCGTTCCCCTTTGTGTGTGAAGCAGCCCGCTGGGTCAGGTCGACGTACTGTCTGAACACAGAAAAGCAGTTAATTTAGTCCCTGGGGCTACGCCTATACAGGGACCACGGTGAAGAGTCAAGAGATGCCACCAAAGACGTTCAAGTGGAAAGTTACCTCGTCCGCCCAGCCCTCCTGCCGCTGCCCCCAGTTCTCCCCATGTTCTTCCTACCATCGCTGATTCTGTGCTGGGAGGAAAACTGAACCACCAAGGCCTTGAGCTGGCTCCGTAGAAGGCCGTCTTCCACCCCGGGACTCTCCAGCCACTGCAACATCTGCATGGGGACTTTGAAAAACAGCGAGGAGAAGGCCTCGTCTTGGGGAGCATGGCGCTGAGAGGAGGAAGAGGAAGTGAGGTTACAGGCAGAATCGCTGAGCCCCAAAAGAGGCATTAAAAAGGCCTTGGAAGGAAGCTCTACTCCTTGCTAAGCAGCCCCAGGGTGAAGATCCCAACCGCTGAGGTCCTCCAATTCCGGGAGAGAATCGGGTTTATGGCCCAAGGGGCTTTGAAACCAGAACACTTGGTCACAGGACCTGTATAGAGTCTCTTGAGATGGGTGGCTCATAAATGGTTAAAAATGATACAATCATATAAAAGTAAAGTAAAAAGATAAAATAAAAATAATATAAAATAAAACATCACTGCATGCCACTTGATTACAGCTCTCCCTGGCTCTGCCTGCCTCCTCCTGCCCCCTCGGTCCTTCCCCTCAAACCTTATTCCAGACAAGGCTCACACAGACACCCTTCTTGTACTCCAGATTATTCAAACTCACGGCAGAGTTTGATGGGATTGTGGGAAGGGGAGATTCCTGTTTCCACCTTTCAAATCAAGAGTCCGGGCCGGGAGCCCCTCCCAGCCCTCCCACCTACTCATTCCTGCAATCAGGAGTGCTCCTGACCCTGTGTAGCCTCACTGGTCTCAACTGAGGGTCCACGAGGCCAGCTGACAGCCCCCACGCTCCCCTCCCCTCCAAAATAACAAGCAAGGTCCTAGATGTATGGGCAGTCCTCAGTTTACGGCAACTGAGCCCCAATTTTCTGTTGCTAATTTTCTCTACAACAGATCGAAAAGGCTACCTCCGAGTCCCCCCACCCCCATCTCACAGGACTTGAGTTTGCCCCCGGCCGAGAAGGCCTCACCTGGTGCTGCCACAGCAGGCGCACAAGCGGGCAAGCCATGACATGGTTGCGGTGCATGGCCATCACCAGGGCTCCTCCGTGGGGCGAGTTCAAGAGGGCCGCCAGAGCCTTCAGAAGCCGGGCTGCTGTCTTGGGCGATGGCGAGCCGCCTCCTTGGCGCAAATGTGCCAGCTCCTGACCCAGGGTCTGCTGCAAAGCCAGGGCAAGGGGCCGCGGGTTCGAGTTCTGCCAGCGGGGGTCCGGAGCCAGTGGGAACAACTGAGCAGGTAGAAGAAAGAGAAAAGCCTCAGAAAGAGAGACCCCCGTTTCGCTCGCTGCCAAATTAGGAGTGCTCGTTTTTCAAAGATCCAGACGCATTTCTACCACTCAGACATAACGTCGCTCCAGAGGATATTCGCTTACAGGTAGTCCTCGACTTACGACCGTAATGGAGTCTACTGCCCTTTATGGTAAGAAGTGGGGACAGCTGTAAAGCAGCTGATCCACATGACCGACCTAATTTTATTCGAGGATTTTTTTTTTGCAGCGATCGTTAAACAAATCACCATGTTCGTTAAGTGAATCCATGGCCCATTAAGAGAACCCATTTGCCCGCTGAGCATTTTTGTCCAAAACTGGAAGCAAAGACAGATCTGCTGCAATCTTGGGTGTGGTCTCTGAGACCAGAACCTGTTAGAAATTCTGTTTATATATAGCACCACAGATCAAACAAAGAGTCACCATGTGCTTTCCTGCTTAACTGTAACAGGAAACGAGGAAACTCCACTTAGAACAAAAGAATATGGAGTATATACCATAGATCCACACTTGTAAACACTGCCATCTACTGCCTGAATACTACTGTAGTTACTGGACAAAAATACATCCCAACATGTATTCCAACAGGAACTAGGATGGCAGAGATGGGAGCCCTCTCGGAGGGAAATCAGAGGGGCTTAAAAGTTTGGCCACGAGAGAATTATCGGATGCCTGTGAGTATGTCAACTGGCTCGTAGGCTGTCTTATCCAACAAACAGAAGAATAAGCAAGTTCTTTCAAGCTTCGTTTCCCAGAAAAAACAGTCCCGTTTGGAGTAGCGCAGAACAAGTCAGCTGGAACTTGCAAGGTTGATCTCTCTGTTCTTCTCAGAGATAGGAATAACCTCTCCACCATCAGAAAGGATGTGGGAAGCTGGAGCTGCCTGCTTGAAAGCAAGGGGAAAACTAGGGAGGCCCATCACCCCAAAAGGAGACAAGGCAAAGCCAATTACCTGGAGGAGGATACCCGCCAAGTCGGCCTCGGGATTGACAACAGGGAACTGGGCTAAAGCTCGGCTCCTTCCTTGCCCTTGAGGAACCTCAAGGCTGGATTTGATGCGTGGGGCATCATCGCTCTCTGATCAGAGAGACAAATGAAATCTTGTCAGTGGGACGGTAAAGCTCCCTCTTACACACACACACACACACACACACACACACACACACACACACAGTTTCCCCCATAGTAATGTCTATGGATCATCCAGGTCTTGGTTGTCCCAAAAGTACTTTCCCAAAAGGCAACTGGACTTTCTTGGTTTGTTTTTTTCCTTGAAAACATTTCACTTCTTGCCCAAGAAGCTTCTTCAGTTCATGATATTAGAATGGCCCCAACCTTGTTAGCTTTTCAAAAAGATTTAAAAACCTGGCTATGCTCCCAGGTTTGGGGCATTTCATAAGCTAAGGACTCCCATCTCCTTATGTTTTTTCATGGGCCAGATTATCTTGCTCTCGTGTGTCCTTTGAATTAGGTGTCTTCATGCTTTCTATTGTTTTTAATGCTTTCTACTGTTTTAAAAAGTTTTTTTTTTAATTTTTAATTTTGTGTGTGTGTGTGTGTGTGTGTGTGTGTGTGTGTGTGTGTGTTTTGAATTGCAAGCCGCCCAGAGTCTCCTACGAAATTGAGGGGGTCAAACTATTTTCCAAAGCACCAAAAGGCAAGACAAGAAGCAATGGTTGGAAACGAACCAAAGCGAGAAGCAACTTAGAATTAAGGAGAAATGTCAATCAATTAGTGGGATGGAAGTGGCCTTCAGAAGTTGTGGGTGCTCCATCACTGGAGGTTTTTAAGAAGAGATCGGACAACCCTTTGTCTGAAATGATATAGGATCTCCTGCCGGAGCAGGGGGTTGGACTAGCAGACCTCCAAGGTCCCTTCCAACTCTTTTGTTCTGTGCTCCAATGACTGAGAGATAGGTGGCTGTAGAAATCAACAGAACAAATAAATAACTGCCGAACCTTGGTGAGACGGCAGGGAGGCGGTGAGGAGGGAGTGGAAGGTCTGCCCGCCCGTAGCTCCTCTTTCATGCTGCACCTCCACAAGGTGGGCCATGTAATCTGTCAGGGACGAGAGGAGAGGAGGTCTCCATCAGAGGTCTCCTATGTGGCTCTGGCAGAAGCCCCAAAGGCACGGAAGAGATGGGAGGGAAAATCCGATCCCCAAAAATATTTTACTCTTGTCCATGATATTCTGCTCCAGCGTCTGAGGGTCGTGAGAGACGGTTTGGTCCAGATACTGCAGGAGTTTGCTCATGCTGGAAACCGGGATGCCGAAGGACTGGACGAACAGCAGCAGCTGCTGAGGTTCCAGGTCTTGCAAAGCTGGAATAAAACGCCCCCAAATTCAACACCCTCCGAAGCAAAAGCGGAGGGGGCTTGCTTTCCGAATCCACCCTGCAGCCATTCCTTCCCTAATCGTGCCAGACCTTTATTCCCAACCTGCTTACCTGCATCCACCAACCGGGGCACCTCTGAGCGGATCATGCGCAGCTTCAGCCAATCGGGGAGAAGCAGGGCCTCTTCGGAGGTGTCCACCAGGAAAGCTGTGGGGAGAAGCTTCTTCGCGGGGAACCAAATGTCCAGCAGGGTGTAGAAATTGCCACCGTCCGCTTCAAAGCAATGTTTAGAGGAGGGATGTCCAACCTTGTCAACTTGAAGATTCATGGACTTCAACTCCCAGAATTCCCCAGCCAGCGGAGCTGAAGTCCACAAGTCTTCAAGTTGGACATCGCTGAAGTTGGATGGAACATAAGCAGCACCTGTGAGCCACCTCCCCCCCGTGGGTTGTTTTCACACCAAGCTTTCCGTCACCTTGAGGGGGTCCGAGGGTGAGCAGAATCACCATGGCGTGGACTACCAGGATGTGCATGGTGGCGGTTTCTCCACCGCTCCAGCGAAGGAAGACTTGGTCTTGGGACTCTGACTAGAACAGAAAGGAGGCAAATTAGAGAAGCCTCTCCCCATTGCTTAATCCCACTCCCTCCTTCTTGGAAAAAAGACTCTCCCTCCATCACAGATCTGTGGGTGGGTGTCTACTTAAGCACGTAAAATTCTGGTTTTATTTCATATTATCTTAACAGAGTAACACAGCTGGAAGGGACCTTGGAGGTCTTCTAGTCTAACCCCCTGCTCCAGCAGGAGAGCCTGTACTCCGTTCCAGACAAATGGCTTTCCAGTCTCTTCTTGAAAACCTCCAGTGATAGAGCACCCACAACTTCTAGAGGCAAGTCGTTTGGCTTGATTCTTGCTTTTAATTTTTTATAATCGTACGCTTCCATCCAAAGCAGTGTTTCTCAAGCTCAACAACTTTAAGAAGAATGGACTTCAACTCCCAGAATTCCCCTCTCCATTAAGATTAAAGACTTCAACTCCCAGAATTTCTCAGCCAGCGTGCTAGCCGAGAAATCCTGGGAGTTGAAATCCATCCTTCTTAAAGGTTGAGAAACACTGTCCTGGATGGCAAATGGAAAAAGATGACCAAGAGGAAGGAGGAGAGAGGGACGCACCCAGTTGTAAACCTCGTCGCCTTCTTTGGTCTGGCGCATGCGTTTGATGTAGCACAAGAAGATGGAGAGCAGAGCCACCAACACGGAGTCGGATTCCGAGCAGTAGGAGAGCTTCGAGAAGAGGTGAGACATAATGGTGGATCGCTCCACGATCAACCTGGCCACGTCCTGCAGAGGGGAAGCGGAAGAAACACAGACCGACTGAACAACGAAGGCAGCAAGAGTTTTAAGTATGTTTGTCCTCTGGAGTTATTGATAAAACTAATAAGGGTTGGATATTAACAAATACATAATAAATACATTTCTGAACATCAAGAGGGATGTTATCTGCTATCTCAGGGGTCTTCAAACTTGACCCTTTTATGACTTGTGGACTTCAACTCCCAGAATTCCTCAGCCAGGCGCATGCCTGGCTGAGGAATTCTGGGAGTTGAAGTCCACAAGTCATAAAAGGGCCAAGTCTGAAGACCCCTGTGCTATCTGGACCTAACCCTTGACTTCTCTCACCAAAGCCAAATCGTTGTGTTGGCCTTGTTCCTCCACTGGAGCGTGCTGGGAAAGATACACCAGGTAAGCGCTGATGGTCTGAGGGTCTGTCTCCATGTGGATGGCCTGGCACGGGAAGCAAAGGGAGAGCAATGTTACACAATCCGGGGGCCCGGTCAGGAGAGCCTTCCAGGGTCATCGCATTCACCTGCTGCAAAGCCACAGCTGTGGTGGTCCGGACGCTGTCGAACAAGGGCAGCTTGGGGAGGTCTCGCAGAAGCCACTGGTAGCTCTGAAGCAGCTCAAAGTCCCAGGAATCTTCCTCCATGGGGTGTACTTTCTCTTCCTTCTCATGGAGGGCTCCTTCCGAAAGCACCAAGGACAGACCCTGGGGGGGGGGAGAGAAACACAGGAGCCACATCCAGCCTGACCTGCCTCTGAGCTGAGGTCCACTTCTGGCCAAACTGTGGCTGCCAGCAACACGGGGAAAATATCTTCTGCCTAGCAAGAATTTGGATTGTGTCCTCCATTCTAAACCGGACGCTGCCGCTTTGCGCTGCCCGGTCCTCCTTACCTTCATGGCCAGGACCCGCGAGGCCACCTGGGATGAGCTGAGGCGCCTCAGGAAGTAGTCCAGCACCTCACATGTGGTCTGCTCATCCGCCGTGGGTCCCAGGAGCATGTCCTGCAGACGGCCGAGCAACTGCCTCTGCTTCTGCTGCCTCTGAGTGGGGAAGGCGTTGACTCAGAATTAGGAGACAGAATAGGAAGCATCAATTGTGAATATGTGCAGATGGCTCTGCTGTCTTTGGGCACTTGCAGAGTCATGGATGCAGGTCATGAAAGGGCAGCAAGGAAAACACCCCATGTCCTAAGCCACCTGGGAACATACGGTGTCTTTAGGGAAACACCTCAAAAGGAACATTTTTAGCTGCTTCTGCTTTCTCCTTTCTTATCTACAGTGTGCCAGACTCACTGGGTGAAATCTTTATCTTTTGTGTGTCAGCTCTGCTGGGTGGATGGCTTATGTATTCATCCGGGGCTTCTCTCTTTTAGAGGAGCCCGTCTTTGTTCAGCTGAATAAAAACATAAAGCTGAAAGGCAACTTCTGGTTGCCTGTGTTTTTTTTATCAAGCAAAACCTCAGAACCTGCACAGCAAAGGCATCCGCCGAGAATTGGCACAAGGTGAGGACTTGGCGTGCGCTTCCCTACTCACTGCAGAAATGCACTCGGCAATTTTTGATAGGGCTGCACCATTGGAGTCCCAAAGCAACACACTCACCTAAATCTTGCATCAATTTTAGTAAGATTATTACTGAATTTAGCCATGTGCAAACTGCACCGTTGGCAAATCTTTTTTTATTACGCTGATGTCCCCCACGACGTGTATCAGGCCTCAATTCCTGGCATGACAAATAATCAGTCAACCTGATTTTTCTTTGCTTTTCAAATGATGGCACCCCAAAAAGCCACCTCACCTGCCGTTTCTTGGCCCGCTGCTCTTTGCTTTCTCCTTCCTCTTCCTCCTCTCCGGAAGCCGACTCATCAGCCGCGTCATGCAGAAGGAACTCGCAGAGGCACTGGACCGGGAGGACGTCCAGCGAGCCTTCGCTGGACTGGACGAGGTCTGCCAGCCATGGCATAGACTGCGAAGAAGCCTAACGATGAGGAAGAGGAAGGAATCAGTCGAGGAGAAGCAGAGAGAGTGGACTTCAGCAGAACAAAGGTCTGGTTCTGGGGATTGGAAAGCCATGGAGGGCACAGAGAGCTCAAAGGATGACTGGGGGGAAGGGATGGGGGTATCTGTTGCCTCTGGGAAAAGAGGGTTTCAATTTGGGGGGCTGTGATGGAATGCAGTCTGGAGTTGCAGAAAGGAGGGGCTTCTTCCCAGGGGCCAAAAAAAGACAGCCGGGTTTGCACTGTCTGGTGGGCAGGAAGACAGCAAGGTCAGAGACCCTCCCTAGCAGTTTACAGAATAGAGCTATAATTATGGCAAGATTCTGTCTGTAGGTGAACAACAAGCAACGAACTACTCAGAAGTAACTCCTCATTCTGTTCTTGGGTTGGGGGGGGGCTGATAGGCGCTCTGCACGCCTCTAGGCCGGTGGAAAAATTGGATAATGTTGTATTCCAGGGATATTAAACAGGCCAAGCCAGTGTAGTGCCAGGCTGGACTCAAAAGAAATATTGTTGCTCCTTCTCCTCTTTAGGATTGATATTCAGTGGTAGACTGCCTCTAGTTAGGGAGGTTCCATTTGCCAACAGCTGACAAGCATGGACATCCTTTTCAAGAATCTGCCCAATCCCTTTTTCAAGACTGATGGGAGCTCATTCGGCCTTCTGCAAGCATCACCCCATTTCTGGCTCCCTCCTCCATCCCTGGAGTGTTTTCTGGAAATCCCTACTGTCTGAAAATTCCGAAAAATGCATCCTCTCCAGGATCTTTCTAGGCTGAGACTCGCCAAGGCAGACAGAGCCTCCCAGCCCTTTGTGCTCCTCACCTGCCTCTGGATGATGTTGAGCAGGAAGTCGGGGTGCCTGCTGCGACACAAAAGGTGCCCCAGGCGCAGGGACTGGTTGAGGCTTTTCACCTGATCCAGGACAGGCTGAGGCGGCCTGCGAGGAGGCCCTCTGTGGAAGGAGAAACATCTGGTGAAGGAGAAACAGGCTGAGCCAGCCTCCTTGCCCTGGCTTCCTAGGACAGTGATGGCAAACCTTTTAGACACCGAGTGCCCAAACTGCCACCCAAAACCCACTTATGCATCGTCGGGTGCCGGGTGGGTGTGGCCCATTGGGTGGGCATGGCCCGTTGGGTGGGCATGGCCCATTGGGTGGGCGTGGCTGTGGTGGTAACAGCAGACTGGGTGGGACTAAAAAGTTCAATGAATCAATTCCAACTTTGCAAGATCTTTTTTTTCCTGTGAGAAGTTGAAATTGACTGATTGATTGAACCTTTTTTTTTTTTTTTTTTGCACACGGCGGAAGAGGCCTAAAGCGAAAAGGTTTTATAAAACCCAGCTGAAGGCCTAGGACTGGGGCGATGGTACGCGTGCCCACAGAGAGGGCTCTGAGTGCCGCCTCTGGCACCCGTGCCATAGGTTCACCACCACTGGCCTAGGAGAATCCCCCAAGGCTCCTTACTGGGGATCCAGGCTGGTCAGCTGGGAGAGCAAGAGGCTGCTGCTCTCGGTGATGGTCTGCTTGGTGGAGGCTGCGGCCAGGTGACCCTCAAAGGCCAGGATCTCCTGCTTCTCCCGCTGGGAGGTCTGCAGTTCGCGGCTGATCATCTCCGTGCGGGTCTCCTCGTCGGTCAGAGTGCAGGGAGGGTAGGAGTAGTTGCTGGGCAAAAGGAGGGAGAAACCAAGTCCGTTTTAACGACACAGCCGTTTGCACCTTGATGTTATGCCATGAGAAAGAAAGCTCCCCCCCAAAAAATCTCCATTTAATTTAAGACAGGAAAGAAGAGAAACTTGGGACAAATTCGCTGAGTTTGAACCTACTTAGTCATCACCATCTCCATGAGCATCTTCAGCGTGGGGTAATCCTCCCAAGCCGTGAGACCTGCCAATCAAACCAGAGGACGGGGGGGGGGGACAATTCAGAAGCCTTGCAGGGAGCAATCAGAGCAAAATCTCACTGACGGATGATTAGGATAATTAGGATAATTTTAAACTAAAAGCAATTTGTAAAGGGGACTTTAAAAAAAATATCTTATACCAGTAAAATACAGATAGTCCACAACTTAACAACAGTTCATTTAGTGACCGTTCAGTTATAATGGCACTGGAAAAAGTGACTTATGACCGTTTTTCACAATTAGTACCTTTGCAGCACCCCCACGTCACATGATCAAAATTAGGACGCTTGGCAACTGACTCGTACTTATGACGGTTGCTGTGTCCTGGGGTGACGCGATCCACTTTTGCGACCTTCTGACAAGCAAAGTCAATGGGGAAAGCTACATTCACTTAATAACTGTATGACTAGCTTAACAACTGCAGGGATTCACTTCAGAACTGTGGCAAGAAAGGTCGTAAAATGGGGCAAAACACACTTAGCAAATGTCTCACTTAACAACGAAAATTTGGGGCTCTATTATGGTCATAAGTTGATTAGTTGTACTATCCATAGCAAGAATGTTATGTAGAAAATAAGAACAGTAATAATTCCATGCAAAATTTGTAGAAGTTTCGTCCCCACCTCCCACCTCGTATGCAAACGTGTGTGTGTGTGTGTGTGTGTGTGTGTGTGTGTGTGTGTGTGTACGCAGAGGTTATATTTGTGCAGACACAGGGAGAGAAAACAGACAGGTGCCATCAGTCTCACCCCCCCACCCTATGCAAGAAAGGATTCCTCCTGTAACCCTCACCGATGTTTTCCGGATTGAATGCCGCAACCACGAGCAGCAGAGGCCAAGCCTTCCAGTACAGGGTTGAAATTGCCAGATTTGGAGGCTGGTACCTACAGGAGGAGCCAAGGATAGGATCCTGTTAGGTTTTAACAAAACAATGCAAGGTACAAAACAAAAATCAGGATAAAATGGGCCTTATTTTGCCATTCAAAAAAACCCAAAAGCAAAGACAAGGACGAATCTCTCCAGAGTTACCCCAGAGGCAGCTGGATGTTCTCAGGATGGTGGTAGGTGCAAAGGTTCAAGACGGCATCGATCAGCTGAATTCTCTCCACCCTCAAGACTTCGAGATCTGAAATCAAAAATGGGAGCCAGGTATAAACAAAGACGGGGCCGACAAATCTGCACGAGACTGTGCTGATTTCTACATTGGTGGCTAGCAACTAACAGAGATTCCTTATTCAGACAGGGGACCAAGGAGGAGAAGACTATGAAAGAAGTATAGAAAATCCTCAACTTATAACCGTTGCTCTAACACCCGTTTTAAGTTACGAAGGCTCCGGGAAGAATGACTTGCAACCGATCCTCACACTTATGACAGTTCTGCCTCCCTGCAATCGTTGGATCGCAACCAGCCTGTATTTAGGATGGTTAGAGTAGGCCGGGGTCATGTGGATCACCACCCCTTCCTAGGGAACTCGGAATAAGCTGGGATCAAGAGCTGATTCTTCAGCAGAGGCAAAGAACCGGAAGGTCAGCCTCCAGCTTGAATATCCAAATAAATTGCAGGATTACTTTCATTGCTGAAAAACTTCCTGCTTTATTGAATACATGGCATAACGTAGGCGAAGGAAAACTAACTCTAAAATCCCAAAGCATCTAACCATACCTTGTATCAGTGACACTCCCAGCCCAAACCCCCCAGATGTCCACGTAGCTCATGTGAATAAATTCTCTTTGTTATGAGAACCGTCTGTTATCTTCTTCACACCTGCTAGAATGTCCTTGAAAGCTTTCCAGACAGCCTTCTCTCAGCAAGAGAGAGGAGGACCAAAAAGGTTTCGTTTCTCTAACTAATTCAGTTGAAAGCGTCATTTCCCCCACCCACCCACCCTTACTCTTAATGGCAAGATGAAAACAAACTTTCTCTCCTGACACCGAGGAGGCCGTGAGAGGCTCAAAGCAGGCTCACCGTCTGCCTGCACGGCGGCTGCCCGTTTGACGAGGTGGTCAGCCAGCTCCATGGCGTCGGCGGGGCCGAGGGGAAGGTCCCTCGATAGGCCAATGACCAGGATGCGCATGAGTGTGTCCTCCAGGATCGGCACTTCGGAGCAGAGGCGGAGGAAGAAGCTGGCCAGGAAAGAGGGGGGGAAGAGATGCTTAGCAGGTTGACACTCAGGGCAACGGAGGAGAGACCGACTTCCCAACGGTGCCTTGCTTTCAATAAACCACCAAAGGTGGTTTGAGTACGAGGCCAAGGCACTGATTATGCTTTCCAAGTCACAAGCAGCCGCTAGCAGCAAATTTGAGCCTACTACACTCTGTGGAACGTGCGCGGTCCAGAAGCATGCAAATTCTACCCCAAACCCTTGACACATACACACACCCCAACCACCACTGCAGGGATCTAGGTTCAAGTCAGGTTTCAGATTTACTTGCGGTCGCTCTCGGGGGGCCAATTGTCCCATTTGTAGTAGGTCTCGGGTTGCTCAGTGAACAGGACTTTGTGGAGGCTATTTTTTAAAAAAGGGAGAGGGGACAAATGAGGACAAGGTAAGCTTTCGGGGAGCCCCCCTTACAAGGAGGGCTCCCCTGACCTCCATCAATCCCTCCTCTTACCAGTGTATGTATTCCTTGGGAGCCAGCTTGGTGATCGAGGGCACCACTGTGTGCAACCACCAGACAGCGTCCCGCTGGATGGCTGCGATCTGGTTCTGGAAAGCCCGCAGCCCTTCCAAATCTGGGGGGGGGAAAGAGGGGGTCCAGCTCTTCTTAGGACCGAATCTGGGTTGGGCTGACCCCAAACCAGGCTTCATCTCCCACCCAGAGCCTTCCATTCCCCGGGTCCACCCATCGGCGAGGATTCGGGACTCCCCTCGGCTTCCATGCCCAACCAAATTATCAAGCGAAGTCTCACTTTTCTTCTCCCCTTTGTCCCAGGCCACGCCGGCTTCCTTCACCTGGGCGGTGATGCTGAGCATCATGGAGACGGCCAGCAGGTCTGTGATGTGGATGACAAAGCGGTCCTAAAAGAGCAAGGTGAGATCGATAAAACGCCTGTGGAGCCCTGAAAGGAAAACAGGAGGAGCCAATATTGTGGGACATGGATATACGTGGTCCTCAGCTTAGGACCGTATTGGGTCCTCACCTTGAATTCCATTTCGGCATATTGCAGCTCCTTCCGCTCCTGCATGAGTCCCAAGCAGAAGGCCTGGAAGTTGATCTCGTGCTTGGTCTGCTTGATGATCTCCCGCAAGAGAGCCCGGGAAGCTCTCAGATAGTCGTCTTTGTTGGTCAGTAAATCTTGGAAGACCAACGCCAGGAACTGAGGGGAGGGGAGGGAAGAGGTGTGGGGAGAGAACAAAGGAGAAGTGAAGAGGAGAGGGGAGGAGAGGAGAGGGGGAAGGGGAGGGAGGGAAGAAAGAAGGTGGAGAGGGGAAGAGGGGAGAGAGAGAGGAGAGAAAAGAGAAGTGGAGAGGGGTGCAAGGGGAGACGGAGAGGGAGAGGGGAAGAGGAGAGAAGAGGAGAGGAGAGAAGAGGTAAATGCTTCATGACAATCAGTGGTAGGACAAAAAGCCAGATCAAGCAAGCTGATGTTCAACTACAGTGAAGGTCGTGCAACGAAAGTTATCCAGAAGTGCTTTCAAAAAGGTTTTTTTACAGAAACTATACATCTCTTGATGACAAAGATTGACAAGTCCTCCAGAGGGACAGGCCTGCATCTTCCTCACAAGAACAGTGGCCCTGGCATTGTTACAAAACTCAACGGAGTGGGAACCCAGCTTGTCCCTCCGTAGGTTCTGCCCAGATGGAGCAGTCAAGTGAGATTCGGGGAGCAGAAAACCCCAGAAATGTTGGGATTTGGAAGCAAGGAAGGGGAAGCAAGTGGGGTTGTCTCTTCCCTGGCTTCATTCTCTTGGCACTCCCTGGATCTGGACGTCCAGCGTACCTTGGGCGCTAGCTCCGGGCTGTGCTGAAGGACCGTGTACAGAATCTGCATATTGTTGGGGTTTCTCGCATTGGACAATTCGTTGAAAATCACCGATTTCACCACCGTGCCCAAGTTGTCCCGGTGAGCATTCAGCAGCTCCCTGGAAGAAGCACCGTACTTAGGAGGGGAGACTTCTCACCCCAATCCCAGCCAGCCGCCTGATGGAAGAGGCACTTCCCGCTGCTTTATGTGCGAAGCAAGGCTGTCCAATCTCGGCAACTTTTAAGATTTGTAGGACTTCAACTCCCAGAATTCGCACGCTGGCTTGGGAATTCTGGGAGCTGAACTCCACAGGTTTGCAGGTCTTCAAGTTGTCAAGACTGGATACTCTTGGCTCAGAGGCCCCCGATGGGGTTCTCCATCCCCGCCCATTAGACCTGCTTTGGCCTTGTCTGGATCATTCCTTCAATGATTCCTCCCCTCCCATTTGTGTCTGCTTACCTCACGCAGAGCATGTAGTGATTGAGGAGGACTTTGGGCTTCAGGCGGATCTTGATGAGGTTGGAGACCACCTCCACATCCTCGGCGCTGTGGGTGTTGCAGTTCATGCAGACAGACATGAGTAAGTCCTGGGCTGGTCGAGTGAGCTGTAAAGAGGAGGAATTTGAGAGGGGGTACACGGGCCCTGTGACAAACTCCAAACGGGTACGATGGAGAAAGCCACGTTAGATCCTTCATCACAAATCCTTCAATTATTGGCCCATTCCCCTCAGCATCTTTTTCTGAGTGGCAACAACTTTCTGGGATCTCAGGAAGGCGAGATCACATCAAGAGGTCTTTCTATCCCCTGAGTCTCCATTGACTCTTGAATTGTGAAATTTATTAAACCTGTACATTTCATGGGGGAAATCTATGCAATGCATCCCTAAGCACGGACCTCTCCTCCAACATTCTGACATGTGCCCTACAATGACAATAGTTGGGCAGTGCCAAAATGAAGTGCACCCTGTTCCAAAATTGTGTCATCTTCAAGACGAAGGATCTCGAGTGGCTAACCTCCCACCCCAGAGTGGGTTTCAGAATCTGTAGTGGATTCTCTAGTTAAAAATTGGCAGGTGTGCAAAGCAATCCAGATACAGCCAGAATCCACTCTCAGGCCAAGCGATGTGTTAATTTCCAGAACCGAGCCCAGAATCAGCCAGAACACAACAGGTAGTTAAGATTCCGTCTACTTCATCTATAGGCCAATCTGATCAGAATTCACTCCATCCCACCTGATCTCGTGGACAAGATCCTCCCGAAAAGGCGGCCCTACCTTGGGGTTCTGCAGCCACATTTCCAGCCTCTGCACAGCCATCTGCCGGATCTCTTTGTAGCCGCAGGTAGCGGTCAGCAGGCGCAAGAGATTCCGGGAGACGTTGTCCATCGGCTGGCGCCTGTTGAGCTGGTCCCGCAACATGTCCAGGACGTATTCCTCCACACTCTCTGCCAGGTCGTCATACCTGGGCCAAAACAGGGACACTTTTGAAAACTGGTGCTACAAGGAAGTGACTGCACCTTAGTCCAGGAATCAGAATTGGCCCAACAATGCATCAAAATGGAAAAGGAGACATAATTCTTGATGCACAACTCAGAGGCATATTCAGCTACGTTTACTTGATGGAAAAAGGCACTCGATTCTCACAAGAGGCCCAGAATTGTTCTTAAAATGTTGAGATAACTGGGGTTTTTTTTAAACTACTTCCAAACCCCACAGCCCCCTCTCCCCCAATTCTTCTCTACAACAACAATCCTAAACTGCGTTGATAGGAAGGGACTGGTTCAAAGCCACCCCATGATCTTCCATGGCTGAGAAGCAGACTTGAATCCAGGAGTCTTTGTTCTTTTCTGCTTCAGCTGCACCATCCCTGCTCTGACAGCACTGAGACCAAGAGGAAAACAGCATTCCCTCATGGCAAGAGAAGTGATCTGCTTAGATAAAGAACATAGCACTGGGAAAGCCTGTTTTTTAAGAAGAAGGTTCCCTAAAGGTAATGGACAAAGCTAAGACTGAAACGTCCTCGTCCCTGAGACAGGAAACGCTCAAGGTTGGAGTGTCTCAACCTAAAAACGTTTTTAACATCTGTACGTAACTTTCCTGGGGAAACAGGAAGACAAATAGCAGAGAGGAAGGTGCTACCTGGGCATCAGGTGGGCCTCCTGCTCAGGACTCATTTTGTCCTCAGCGATCAGTAATTCGCTCTGACTGTCTTCTTCCTCTGGAACAGAAGGATGTGGGCTGTTTCCTAGAAAGTCATAAACAACAGTCATCCCAGAGAATCACAGTCTGCCTTCAAAGGCCACAACTATCCGTGGTTTACAGGGAAAAGTATTATCTTCAAACTTGGCCTTGAACCCCCGCCCACCCATTCTCTGCTGGTACAACTATAGGCTCCTAAAGGGTTTTGTCCCTGCTTCTTATTAACCACAGTTTAAGGTTGCATCTATTTAATCAACCATAGCAAAGGGTTAAGCACCTCGGTGTCTGCCTAATATTGTCAAATCCTCCAACGGATTTCTTTCCTTCCCCATCTTTATCTACTCCCAAGGAGTCCCCTTACCAGCACTGAGGTCCCCTCCGCCGCGTCCAACCTCTCCATGGGACAAAATACTCTTCGGGGGCATCTTTGTGCCGAAAGCCGTCTGAATGTTTTCCACAAAGGTCTTGCAGTGGGGGCTGTCCACCCAGATCCGTTCCCCCAGCGAATCCTCCATGTAAACCTAGAGAGGAGGGAGACACCGCCATCTCTTCCCTGAACTGTTTGGCATTTCCTCGATCCTATAAGACAAGGGTCTTCACCCTTGGCAGCTTTATGACTTGTGGACTTCAACTCCCAGAATTCCTCAGCCAGCTTTCTGTAAGTTGAAGTCCACAAGTCTGCCAAGATTGGAGACCCCTGCTGTAAATGTCCTACCCTCAAGTCAGCCCACCTTGACAAAAATCTCAGGCCAGTTTTCATCTTCCTCATAAGCCGCCATGAGAAGGTTACAGGCCAAGACAGACACCAGACTGTTCCCTTTGGCTTTGAAGTTGATGGAGGCATCACGGCGGAGAAGGCTGCACAGCGCCTGGGGAAGCAAAAGGTTCCTGAGCATGAGAAAAAAAAGCAGTCCTGCTGGAGAAACTTTGGAATGGGCCTGGACAGTTAAGCAGATTCAGACCACACTTGAACTGATATGGGTAAACTGTATTTCTACTTTTTAAGAATCTGGGTGGGGCTCAGGGATAAGAAACCTTGCGCAAGATGAGGGTGCCACAAAGAAGAAGGGGGTCCACCTATTCTCCAGAGCATCTGAAGGCAGGACAAGAAGCAATAGATGGAAGCTAGTCAAGGAGAGAAGCAACCTGGAATTAAGGAGGAATTTCCTGACAGTGAGAACAATTAATTAGTGGAACAACCTGCCTCCAGAAGTTGTGGATGCGCAAACACTGGAAGTTTTGAAGAAGAGACTGGACAGTATAGAATTTGTCTGGAATGGCATAGAGTTTCCTGCTTGAGCAGGGGGTTGGACTAAAAGACCTCCAACATCCCTTCCAACACTGTTATTCTAGTTCTGCCTGCCCCTCACCTCAATCACTCCTTCGGTGGCGAAGATATTTGGCTTGATTTTCGCCAGGTACATCAAGGTCAGGTAAAGGGTGATGTCAGGCTTGGCCCGGTTCATTTTCAGCTGCTTCACAGCTCCGCACAACACCCCTTCGATGCGGTCATCATTGCCTTCGACTTCGGCAGCCTCAATCTCATCCAGCAGAGCGTTGGGGGCCACTATTAGCAAAAGGAAACCACAGCAGCTATTTGGCAGTCCAAACTCCCACTAAAATACCCAGGCACAGCTGGATATTTTAAAGAATTACAGTGTGCCCTTTTCTTACTCCATTTAGTTAAAAGCATCTCAAAGATCAGAAAAAGCATTAAATACCTGCCTGGCAAAATAATTTGCACGGATAAATCCCCTCCCCCACAATTTGGAAGGAGGGAAAGCCTGCCCCCAACCCTCGTAGATTTCACCTTCGATAGGAATGACCGATGGCTCTTTGATGGAAGGCGAAATGGCTCGCTTCTCAGCCACGGCAGCCTCAGCCAAGCGTCCCAGAGCACTAAGAGGGGGCGTGGAGGAAAGTTTGGGCCGTTTGGCCAGTCCGGAGGTGCTGGACAAGGCGGATGACGCCGCCTCGCGCTTCCGCTCGGAGGGCAACCCGGAGGATGTTGGCTTGAGCAAGGTGGCGGCTGTCTTGGATTCTCCCACCTGGCCTTTGGAGCCCAAAGCGATGAAGTCTCCCGGAGGAGGGTGGCCTAAGGTAGGAAAGTGGAAGAAAAAGAACATCAGCTAAGGCCGTGGGGAGCCCCAGGGCGCTTCCTTCTGAAAGACCCAGAGAAATCTCCACGTAAATAACTTGGGCACTGAAGACACGGCTTTGTCACTGGGGCTGAGGACTCCAGGGGGACATAGAGCCCATCATGCGGTTGGTTTGATTGTTGTCACTCCAGGAATGGAGATTTAGGAGGCTATTTAGGGTCTATTTCTGTAGGCTGCCCAGAGTCACCGTGAGTTGGGGAGGGGCAGTCATATTAATTTTCTTAATAAAAAAATAAATAAAAGTACAGGTAGTCCTTGATTTATGACCACAACCGGTGGTCCAATATTTCTGGCGCTAAACGAGACATTTGTTAAGTGAGTTTTCCCCCACATCACGACCCTTTCTTGCCACAGCTGCAAAGTGAATTGCCGCAATTGTTAAGCTAGGAACACAGTTGTTCAGCCAATCTGGTTTCCCCATTGACTTTGCTCGTCAGAAGGTCGCAAAAGGGGATCACACGATTCGGGGACACTGCACCCCTCATAAATGTGAACCAATCACCCAGCATCCGAATTTTGATCACGTGACCCATGGGGATGCTGCAACGGTTTTAAAAGGGTGAAAAACGGTCCTAAGCCACTTTTTTTAGGGCCGTTGTAAGCTGGAGCGGTGACTGAACGAACTGTTGTAAGTCGAGGAGTAGCTGTTCGATCATGCAAAGACTAACCAGCCAAGAAACCTCCTCTCTTTGCCGTGGGGCAAAGCCGGGGGGGGGAGGAAAGAGGGGGAACATCGGCCCTGCGAGGTAGGCCAGCCCAAGAAACCAATGCTAAGCAGGTCAGGTCAGGCCTATTTTTTTTTAAAAAAAAACAGACGTTAAGAGAAGTCGGCCTGTCTGAAGGGGCTTCCCTCCGCCCCCCCCCTTCCTGAAAAGAGGGAGGGTCTCGTCTCAGAGGCTTCCTCTGGCCTGGACTCCGGTTCCTTCGACCTAACGGGGATCTTGGATGCAGCTCGTCTTCCTAGCCCTCCCCGCCTCCCCACACTGGAGACCACCCCCCCCTCTGCGGTTCCACACGTGCCCCAGACACGCATCTTCGGGGGGGGACACAGAAAACCCTCAGCAACTCCTTTGCAGGGCCTCCACGCGGAGACCTCCCCCACAGGGGGTCCATGGAGGACCCCCCCCTATCTAAAGCAGCCCCCCCTCACCGGAGGGTTTGGCAACCGCGCTGGGGCGGCGCGCGGCCGCGGGCTTCGGCCGGTTCATCCTGCGGGGGCGGGCCAGCCCCCCAGAGGGGGTTTTGGGGGCCCCTGGAAGGAAGGGGGCGCGGACTCCCCCCCCACTTCCGTGCCCCTCCCTCCCAACAATCGGCGGAGCTGCCGGTTTCTCCGCTGCAGCCAGCAGATGGAAACCGGAAGTCTTGCTCGTTGACCCGGAAGCGGCTCCTCTAGGAAGGACGGTGTTTTTCGGCTGCCACCGGCGGACAAAGGTGGAACTGCAGCCTCTTTAAGAGAACCAAGTCGGACCGGTAATCTTAGAGCCTGGGGGGGGGGGGGAAAGGGATGAGCACAGCGCTCCCGCGCGGCCGAAAAGGGTAACCGCATATCTAAAGGTAGCACTAGCCACAGCAGTAAGACTTATATACCGCTTCACAGGGCTTCACAGCCCCCTCTAAGCGGTTTCCAGTCAGCCATTTGCCCCCTACAATCTGGGTCCTCGTTTTAATGACCTCGGAAGGATCAGCCCTTGAATCAGACAGAACTGAATTCCTGGCCGTGGACAGAATCAGCCTGCAGTACTGCATTCTAACCACTGTGCACCAAGGAAGGAAGGAAAGGAGGGAGGGAGGGAGGTAGGGAAGGAAGGGCAAAGCACTTAAACTTATATATCATTTCACAGTGCTTTTCAGTTTCCTCTAAGTCAGCGGTTCTCAACCTATGGGTCGCGACCCCATTTGGGGTCGATCGACCATTTTTCGGGGGTCGCCAAAGGCGGCGATCCGCCATTTTCTCCCCTCCGGGGGCGGTGCCGCGCACGTGTGCCGTGCATGGGGGCGCCGCCGCGCATGTGCCGCGCATGGGGGCGCCGCCGCGCATGTGCCGCGCATGGGGGCGCCGCCGCGCATGCGCATAACGTTTATGTGATGGGGGTCGCCGTCACACAAACGTTGAGAACCGCTGCTCTAAGTGGTTTACAGAGTCAGCATGTTGCTCACAACAGTCTGAGTCCTCGTTCTACCAACCTCAGAAGGCTGGAAAGCTGTGTCGACCTTGAGCCGGTCAGGATCCAACTCTTGGCAGTGGGCAGAATGCATGTTCAATTGGTAGTGGGCATTTTCGAGTCGCAGGATTGGAGGAAAGGCAGCGCTGGGAACCCTCTGAGCCTGGAAAGGAGCCCATCTTCACCTGCCATGACTAGAGGGATTGGTTTGGAGGTGAAACAGCCACACCACAGAGCAAGAACACATCACATTGTATTTTATTTCATTCTTGGTACAGAAACTCGGGGAAAAGTATCAAGCAGAGTTTAAAAATCTATATGTATTCCAAAAAATAAAACAACTGCCCCAAAGGGATAAAGCTCACTTTTCCTTTTTCCCAGTCTTCCCAATGCAGATGTTGATGTACAGCAGTGTAGGGGAAACCGGACAACTTTAAGACACGTGGACATCAACTCCCGGATCTCCCCAGCCAGCGTTGTGGAGTTGAAGTCCACATGTCTTAAAGGTGTCGTATTTAATCGGCACTGCTATACGCTGTATTTGTTGGTTTTTCTTGCTACCTGCCATTCTGGTAAAAATAAAATGTCGCAAAACAGCTAAATGAGAACATCTGGACAACTTTACAGCCATGGTCCATAAATCTTTTGCTCATGCTAAGGCTGACTTCACAGAAAGCGGGCACTCCCAAAACAGGCTTAGCTAATCCTATCGTGGTTTTACTGACAGTAGCACTACAAAGTTGCTGTGGCACTTGGGCACGACTGGATATTTTGGACAAGACGGGCGAGGGGGAAACCTCCCTGCTTTGTTCTAGAGGGCAAACAAAATTCAGGAAACCCCAGCAGTTGGGAAAACTATGGGTGGAAAAATAGTGCAAATTGCATTTTCCGAAGTAGAAATCTGTGCATTTTAGCACAGTATAGACATTCATTCTGAGTGTGAGTACAGGGCAGGGTGAAGTGCCCCACTTAATTCAAGGGGCAATGCTGAGAAATATGCTCCAAGCTCTCACATTAGCCTGGCAGAAGATTTAAACCAGCCCCATTGGCAAGGATTCTGCAGCAAACCCTTCTAAATCTCAAGATTTAAAAGCAAAAGGTTCCTCCAACAGAATATTGACAAATTACCCTTGGTAAGGTTGCAAACTTGGTTAAGCAACCAAGGCATCCATGACCTGGCCATCTAACTGTAGAGATATTCAAGGATGGCTAATAATAAGGGCTGGGGGTTTAGGCGCAGTTCTTGGTGCAAGGTGCTTCAGAAGAGTTAATTTACGGGACTGAAGCAGGCCTGTTACAGGGTGAAATACCACCCTTCGCCATTGTGGATTTTACCAACGATGCTATCAAAATCTTTTGATACTGAAGTAAGAGGATAGGAAAACTCAAATTCAGGATGTTTCCAGCATCGAAATGGAGACTTAGGCCAGTATGAGAGAGTGGAACACATGTATACACATTTCTGAATCCTCTCTCTATCTACAAACCTTGGTTTCCCTCACTGGCAGAGAGCAGGGCCTCTGGACCAGAAATGGACTCTATCAGAATTTAATCTTCTGCTCAGAGGTTCTACATTTTCTGTAAAAGACTGCTCATACAGTCAACCACCCCCTCTGGGCTAGAACTGGGAGAGATCACTGACGCTTCTTATTCAGAACAATCTGGCAGATACGCTTCCAGACTTTGATGGAGAAATTCCTCCCCCATTAGCCTTAATAACCAAGGATACTAAACTGCGAAATCCGGAGGCTGAATTGAGGATGCTCGGCGTGCCCACAGCCCAGGTTCACACAACAGTGGAGGGAGTCTCAGTAAATCCCAGGCGGCTGGCCAAAATGCCAACAACTCATCAGGAACTCATTTCCAGTGACTTTGATTCAACGTTCCCCTTTTCCAGCACAACTGCAAAGCGCCACTTGCGGAGTGGGGGATGTTTGGCAACATGCGGCGGAGCAAAACACGGAAGACGACGAGAGGTCTGTGCCCAAAAGCATGGAGCAGAAGCTGCAGAGAAGAAGGCAGGAGGGCCTTTCCCAAGAAGATGCGAGGAGGCACCGCCACGGAGGTTCATGCGGATCCCAGGCCGAGGTTCCCCACAGGCAGCAGCTTCACCTCCTCCTGGCGGTGTTCGTCATGCAACCGGTGCAGAGGAAATTCTCCTGGCCTCACAGCCATCGTATAGAGAAGCCCTGGCTGAGGGGAAGCTGCAGGTTGCTCACATGGAGTACCTTTGGGGATGGTTGCAAAAAAGATTGCCGAGTGAGTGGACGGCACCCTTGTTTTACAAAGTTGTTTTCATTCCTGGCGTTTTCATATTCTACCTTTCTACTAGGATAAACCTACACCGTGTCTGAGTATTTTAAATGTGCTTTAAAAATGCATCAGGTAAGAAACTGGAAAAAGCAAGAAGCAACATAATAAAAATAACAAACCTAACAAATAGCTGGAGAATATTTAAATAGGATATTTGAAGAACTGTAGCATCCCCTTCATGCACGACATTGTTAAGAAATACAGGACACTACTTCTGAAAACTTAAAAACAGCCCAGTTTTGATACCAAAAATGCTTTTCCACAAGGCAACTGGACTTTCTTGTTTTTCTTTGAAAAAGCATCTTTGGGATAACTATGACCTGGATGACTGAGAATCTCCATAAATATTTAGCCCAGTTGTGAGTTTAAGGAAACAGACGTAAGTCACTCCTAAAGAGTATCTAGTAATAAAGCGACTTGGGTCGCTTTGCCTGTAGCAAGGGCCAAATAGACTCAGTTTTTCTCCCTGCTGGCTGAGAAATTCTGGGAGTTGAGGTCCACAAGTGCTAAAGTTGCCAAGTTTGGAGACCCCTGGTCTGAATAACCAATTGGTCAATTACCTGATTGGTCAAATAAGTGAAGGGCCAGTTTTTGCCACTGACGGTGACCGTTTTCGGCTCTTCCCGGACTCCGTAGACACTGAGTTTATCTACCGTGAGGTGGGTGACTTCGGTACTGGAATGCAGGATGGTGGAGATGAAAGTGTTCTGGAAGAAGGAGAAGAAGGAGAGCTCATGTTTTCTAAACAAAGAGAGGTGATAAATGGCTGCTACAACAACCTCTCATCACTGCTAACCTGCAGTTATAAAGACACGTGGATCAGTTTTTCCCCAAAACACTGAATTTTGTCATCGAGTTTAGAAGTTGGCAGGATGGCACCCCTTGCAGGTGTACAGGTCTGCAGTTGAAGGATCCAATGCTGGTTGATGTTGCCCTTTAAAAATGTCCACTGTTTCATGCTGGACAGACATGGGTCATCTGGAGGGCCGAAAGCTCTACAACCCCCCCCCCTTAAACCATGTAAAATGCTGCACCCCCACAAGGAGAGGCTGAGAAAGAGACTTCCTGCACTTTTAAAAAGCAGCCTCTATGTGGCTCTTTTAAAAGGGAGGTTTCCGTGGTCCGTTGTGATTCAAAGGAAGAGAGAAAGTTCACGCTTTAGGCGTCCAGGAGAAATCTCATCTCCCCCTCTAGCGAGAGCCATCCCAAAACATTTCTTGCGTAGAGCCTGGAGGAGAACCGAGCAGAGGAGGCTCCCTCTTCCTCACAGGTGGACTGGCAGGTGGACTTTCTCACCTGGGTGACGTTGAACACCAGGTAGGAATAGTCGCCCTTTTCAAAGGTGTCCAGGCTGTCGCCGTCATCCCAATAAAGGTCTCCCCAGGCGTTGGAAGTCTGGGATAAGGCTGCGATCAGGGTCAGAGGGTTCCGGCGTGTCAGCCAAGTGCTGCCTCTGGGTTTCTGAGACACATCAGCAGAGGGAGGGAGGGAGGGAGGGAAAGGATGTCACTTGGGACACTCTGAGCAAAAGGTTTTCAACTAGGCCACACCGTCTTCCCCCTCTGCTTATAGCCTAGCAGTGGCACTTGGCTAGTAGAGACTGTGACACGATGAAACCCCCTCCCCCCCCCAAAAAAAGTTTTTATCAACTCAGGATGGATGAGGAAGAAGCTAAACTCTTCCCTGCCCATCTCAGGGTAGCTTTCTGTTTTATTTCCCAGGTCTGTATTTTAACCTTCTGAGCTAGAAGGCTGGGGCTGGCGAATTCTGGGAATTGAAGTCCACCCTCTTCAAAGTGGCCGAAGTTGAGAAACACTGTTCTAAGCTGTGGTGGGAAAGGCCTGGGCTGAAAAGTCATTGTTAGTGACCTAACAAATGACATTAAGACCCGAGGTAAGCCAGAAAGCAGATCTTCTTTTAGTCTGAGCTTTGGGGTCCTACAGAGGGAGAGATGATAGGCTGCTTGCTTACAAGCTTGCCTAGAGGACCCTCGGCTCCCAGCAGCTTATCCAAAATTGGGGGGGGGGGGGCAGTGAAAGGTGCATAAGAGCCTCTTCTGGTCTCACCTGTGTCGGCAGGATGGTGCCCTCTCTCAGATGGACGTTGATGTGATTCAGAGGGGCTGCCATTTTCAAGCTTTCCCCGCTGCTGTTCACCGAAGAGCCCTGAAGAGGACAAAGAGAAGCCCTCAGGTGGGTGTCAAGCTCTTGGAGGAGGAGGCTCCCCTTGGAGTCTCAGAAATGGGGTTCTCCTGGACTCCAGAGAGGTGGGACCAGGACAGGAGCTCAGAGGCTGGGCCCTTACCGTGTAGTAATCGTACCAAACACCTTTGGGGAAGTAGCCAATCACTGAGTCCACACCAGGTTCCAGTACGGGCGTCACCAACAGGACTCGGCCCCAAAGAAACTGCTTGTCCAATGTGTAGGTGGTCTCATCCTTTGGGAACCTACCACAAGGAACAGATCATTGAAACGCCGTCTGTCTCGTGTTAAGAAGACCTACAACCATCCAAGGCTCCTTGAAAATATTCTCAGTCTGTAAGCCCAGCTCCATACATCAATCCATGGGAATCTCTAGGAAGGACCTGACTCAGAGCCAAGATCCAAAGCTAAGAAGAACTTCACCCAAAGCCAGAACTTAGCTCTGAAACACAGGCTACGGTACCTTGCCCAGATCTGGAGACCTGTTTACCTAGACTACATCATGGGAATGAATTAAATGGGCTAAGAATCTTCTTCTGCAGGGCTCAGCCATGGGTAGTAAAAGAAGAAAAGATGGCAGATTTCCCCAAAGGAAGACCCCGCAAAAAGAAAGACGACTGGGTTCATTAAGAATGGTGTTCTTCCTCAAGGCAATTCCCAAATTCCTCCTGAAGTCCCCCGTTTCTGAAATATTTTGCAATCTTTTCTTGCAGCTCATCCAAGACGTAGCAAAGGACTTACTCAAAAAACAGAGGGCGGGCGACAGTGTCCCCTTGCAGATGAGCCCAATGGAAGAGAGAATACAGCAGGGGCAGCAGGGTGTAACGGAGTTCCAGGGCGGCCTTCATGGCAGTCCGGGCTGCTGGGCTAAAGGCCGTGGGATCTTGAGCCTGTGGAGAGGGGAAGGGAGAGCCTGAGCGATGGTGGTGAGGGAGGGCTGTCGGGCAGAATGGAAGGACATTTGTGTTGCTCTCAGAAATACTGACATAGGCACCCATGAGGTTTTTAGGAGTCAAATGTAACTCAGAGGAGACATTAAAGTCTTCGACAAAGAATTAATAATCCGATCGTGGTTCATCTTGCTGGGGGAGGAGAGTTATATTGCAACAACCTTTAGCTACGTCCAGTGTAATGGAGCTCTTGAGGAAGAGTCAGATTTTATTTTTCATTCAAGGATTCTCAGCATTCTCTGCATGAGTCACAACATACTTAGGGAGAACTCTCAGGTCAGAGACTCATACAGAGATGCAACAGTGGGCTCTTCTGAAGATCATTGGTCCTTCGCACAGGGAAAGGAAGGCTTCCTTGCATTAAGTCCGGCTCCGATTCTGTGCTTTGGTTTTCAGGAACAAGAGATGGAAAATCAAAGCCTCCTTGTTCTAGCACGGACTGGGAGGTGAAAGTAGAGATTTGGGGAAAGATAGGGGAGAGGCAGGGGAACGAACCCCCAGACCACCCTCCCTTCACTTACCTTCTCAAGTAGAGTGTTGTGATTGCGTGAAAAGGGATAGAAAGCCCCGAGCTGCGTCCAGCGAACACAGAGCTCTTCTGTGGTGGAGCTGAAGAAGCCACAGATGTCAGCCCCAACCAAGGGGACTCCAAAGAGACTGAAGCTCAGCAGGCCTGGGGATTTGGACAGGAGCAAAATGAGGCCAGCCTCTGGCTACAGAGGGGCAGGCTTCAGCATCTGGAGTTGGCCACTGGAGTGCTCGGGGGGGGGGGGTCTGACCTTGGATGCAGTCCAGGATGAGATGCCCTAACTATGGATGGATATCCCGAGCGTTATATTTATTGGTAAAAATCCAAGATAAAGGATAAGCCTTGAAATGGGTATGGAAATATGCAGAATGCCGGCAGCTCTGATATGTTATTGTTGTCCTGGCAAATTACCCATAAGTTTCTCGTTTACAAGTTTCGCAACCCACTTCCAGCCCTGTGTATGGGACAGCTTCACATTGGCTTTATAAAACACACAGAGATAATGAGGTCGTTTTACAGTCTGTGTATGACAGGAGCAGCAGATATTCAAAATACGTCCGAAAGCAGCCGGGAGGTACCTGGAATGGACCAAAACATATCCTTCCATTCGCTCTGGTTGTCCCCCAGCCAGTGTCCTGAATACCTGCCCTGGCTTGGGAATGTGGAACGTGAAATAACAAAGGGTCTCTTCCCTCGGATTTCAACAAGAGCCCTGCAAGGAAAATAAAAAACAAACCTAATAAAGAATAATAGACATATTTGCAAGGCTGATGAATCCTCAGCATGGCAAAGCGGGGAGAAGGAGGAGGAGGAGGAGAAAGAAAAGGAGGAGAAAAGAAGAAAAAGAAGGAGGAGGAGGAGGAGAAGCCTGCAAATGTTCTATTGCTCTCACCTCCAAAAAAGCAATTCCTTTACTACCACATGTGGTGGCAATGCCCAAAGGCACAAAAATTTTGGAACTTATTAAAGAAGTGGTTGGAAGAAATTCTGCAAATAGATATAGAAGCCAAACCGGAATTTTTCTTATTGGAATTATAGAAAGAAAATATAAGAAAGACACAAATTATTTACTACTGCATATAGTAACAGCGGCACAAATAGCCTTCGCTCCAAAATGGAAAGAGAAAGATACTCCAAGCGAAGAGGAAATATTACTGAAAATTTTCAATTGCACTGAAATGGATAGACTTACATGGGAACTCAAGGACAAAAGTGAAACCAAGTACTATAAAATCTGGGAACAATTTTATGATTGGATAGACAATAAGAGAGTAGCCAAGATAAATGTATAGTGCAAGAATAAAATATAGATTATAGATAAATGTATATTTAAAAGATAAATAGATACATAGAAATAAGGGGAAAAGTGTTAATAGTATATTATAAATAGTGAGCTAAGTTCAAGAACTATATGTCTATATGAGTACTAATACTATTGTAAAATGTTGGAAGATATATGGAACCAGTGACGTCATATCTATGTCCAATGTGTTTTAAATTTTATATTACTAATACAAATTTTAAAAAAACAAAACAAAAAAGCAATTCCTGAAGACAAAGGAGCCTGGCCCACCTTGAGGTGGCCTTGGCTTGCATCAGACCATAGAGGTTGTGGAGATTGTAATGCACGGAGAGACTCTGCTTGGCCGAAGCGCAAATAGTCCTGGCAGAAAGAGAACCTCCCAGGATCCCTAATGGAGACAGAGAAAGGCAGGTGAGGAGAAGAAAGATCCGGCATGGGTGTCTTCTCAGGAAACAAGCCCATCAACTAGCAGATCTGCTGAAGCAGCTTAAGTAGCGTGGAAGTTCATGAAAGGGTTGGTGCCAACTTCACTGTTGCGGATTTTAAGTGATCCCGTTTCTTACCTGGAATGTAAGGTGGGTTGTCTAGGTCCCCTTGGGGGCAACTTTCTGTTGAGCCATCAATAAAGTTGGATGGTTCATTCATGTCCTAAAGCAAAGGGATCTAGATGGAGTTAAGAAGACCTATTCAAAGTATGGCTGCCGAACACAAGCTACGCTAGCCTTCTATAACCAGGAGTAATCTGTCAGGTATTCTCTAAGCCAGGGGTCTTCAAACTTGGCAACTTTAATACTTGTGGACTTCAACTCCCAGAATTCCTCAGCCAGACTTGGAAGAGGTGGCTGAGGAATTCTGGGAGTTGAAGTCCACAAGTCTTAAAGTTGCCAAGTTTGAAGACCCCTGCTCTAAGCTTAATAGTTGGACGGTCCAGCCTATAGAAAACTGACTTCAAGGTCAAATTTGGGTAGAATTAAACTTCAATTCAAAGTCTCACTCCCAAATTGTAGATAGAGAGCCATGTTCATCCATGTTAGCAGAAAAAAAACAACAACCCAGAAGTTTGGAGGCACCTTTGCTAGCAATTTTTTTTTACAATACATCAGTTTTTGTGAGCTACATGGAGCATTGAATACATGACTGCATGGGATGAAGTAAGCTGCAAGTCACAAAAGCTGATGCTGCTAATAAAATATGTATTCATCAGCTCAGGAAGACTGATGTATTTAAATGAAATGTGTTAATCAGAAAATGTGCTGCTACACACACACACACATGCACACACACCCATGCACACACACACACACACACACACACACACACACACACGACTGATTTCTCTTCCAAATAGAGTTCCTGACTTGGTATTGGAAGCCCACAGCTTTATATCTATTTTCTATTTTTACTAACGTCCAATTCACAATCATTCATGTCTTGCCAGACAGAAACCAAGAGAAGTTAAGAAGGAAACATACGATCCAAACGCCATCGAAAGGAACGTGAGTATGAAGATGCTTCAGATTTTCTAGCCACCACTGATGAGTAGTTGGGTTGGTAAAGTCAGGATAAGCAGAGAAGCCAGGCCAGACCTGGCAAGAAAATGACATTTTAAAAAATAATACTAGATCTGGTAGTAAGATTCATAAAAACTTCAGCCTGGCTGGCTGGAGAATTTAGATCTAGAAGTCTTAAAAGTTGCCAAAGCTGGACACCGCTGCTCTAAATGAAATTGTGAGGAAAGAAATATTTTCAGACAGAGAACTCTGAGTACATATATAGAATACTTTCACATGGCTCGTTTTATGAGATTGATAACACCTTCAAAACAGCTTGATTGAAAGTGGTTTTGGAGCATGGACACAAAGATAAGAAATCCTTCTGAGCTTTACGTAAGATTTAATTTTCTTATGGCTACAAGGAAATCCAAGTATGTAGGAATACAGTGAGAAAGGCAGACATCATAATCGGAGGACTACAAAGTCCACCTGTAGCAGGAACTGACAATTTCACACTTCACCTTATCTCTGATGCCTCCAGGAAGTTTCCGAGTTCTTTTTATTAATTCTCAGCTGTTTTGAACAATATGGGTTAACCAAAAGCAAATACTAACCATTCCAATCAGGGGTTTCCCTTCGGTATTATTGATGAACACGGCGCGCTTCAGACCTTCATCATAAGGCCAGTAAGAGCCAGGAGGCTGAGTGCTGCTGATTCCGGGGTCCTGAAAGAAAATAACATGAGAACCAGCTGTTTTATACAGCAATTTTCCCAGACCAGGCAACCTCCAGATGTACAGCTATAATTCTCAGAAATGTCCATAGTAGCACACATCTGGAGAACAGACATTTTTAAGGCTAGCATTCCAGGACCGGCTCCAACGGATCCTTTAGCCATGACAGGTTGTGTTTGCTCGTTCGAAATTTGCTAGAACTGCTGCAGCTTGCTATAACCACCTAAAAAGAGGGTCTCTCTCTGGGTGTGTGTTTATATTTATACACAGCACAGAGACATGTTGGCTGGAAAGAGAAATCCATGTTACTTACAAACACACACTCCACCAAAGCATGAACAGAAGAAAGGCTCTTACCACGATCAGCACGTAGGATTGTCCGTGCTTATGAAGATCTTCTACCATCTGGGGAAGGCTGGCAAACTTCTCAGAGTCCACGGTGAAGTCCCGAGAGCCATTCATATAATCAATGTCATTCCACTGGGCATCCTGCAAGAGGAACAAGAGAGAGGACAAAGAGGAAGCATCTCCAAGCTGGCTGGTACAGAATGAACTCATTTAGAGATGGCTCCTCTGAAGAACACAGAGAAGCATTTGGCCTCGTTTGTTACGTGGTAGATTTGAGGTCCCATCCAGAGACAGAGGAGACCCAGTAATCCAGTTTTATGAGGCTTCAGTTGCCATCATCCCCAAGCAGTGCCTGGACAGATCAAGGAGAAGAGGTACATTCCAGGAGTAATGGCTGGATTAGAGGCTGAATTCATCTTCTCTTCCTTCGCGGAAGGTTCCTACTGTTTTTACCTGAGGGATCTGAAAATTCCGCATAGCTTTGACTATCTCCCAGGTCTCATTGCTTGTCCCGTATCCCCAACGGCAGAGATGGAAACCCAGTCCCCAAAAGGGGGGCATGGCTGGAAACCCTGAAATGGAAATGGTGGGAATTCAACACATCATCCTCTCTAGTCGGACCTTCTACTGGGCAGGTGACCACCTCTTTTGACATTATAATTTAAATGGAGTTATAATTAATGTCATTTTCTTTCTCTGTGTGTTTTTTTTTCTTTTTCTTTGACAATGCATGTATTTTTATCTTGGTGGGGGTTTTCTCCCCCATTTGTCTGTCATTATTTTAAAAGCAACAAAAGAAGAAATGTCATTTATGAAGATTCTCCTGGCAGAGAAACAAAACCAACAAAAATAGTGTTCCTGAGCTATGATCTCTGAATTATATTTGCTTTGGAAGGTTTCTTAGCTAAGAACCCAAAACACAAACGCAGTCAAAGCTGGAAGGCAGGGTTAGCTTCTAAGCATGAGTGAATAAACTTCTCCTTATGGGCATCAGGTGCTTCTGGGTAAGTCTCTGGGTTGCAAGGGCAGAGCCTTCCCCAACTGGGCACCCTAAATACTGTAGGCTTCCACTCCCCCCTCTCCCCCATCAGCCTTAGCTCCTGTCTGAATTTTCCAGCCAGTTTGAAGAGATGAAAAAGTCTTGCTGGTTCTTGAGATACTCACCAATCACTTGCTGGTACTGCTGGACCACCAAGTTGGGGTCTGGTCCTAAAAAGATGTAAAAATCTAAAATTCCCCCAGTGGTCCTCCATGTGAGGGCAGGAGCAGGCTGAAGGGCCACCTCTGAAGAAAGAAAGAAAGAAAGAAAGAAAGAAAGAAAGAAAGAAAGAAAGGAGGGAGGGAGGGAGGGAGGGAGGGAGGGAGGGAGGGAGGGAGAAAAAGAAAGAAAGAAAGAAAGAAAGAAAGAAAGAAAGAAAGAAAGAAAGAAAAGAAAAGAAAAGAAAAGAAAGGTCAAATTAAGCCTTTAAGAAGATATTCTGGGATGTAGCACCATGAAGAGATAATGCTTACTCACTTCAAAAGCATCAACATATTCTTTACTACAACTCAAGGGGTCTCAAGGGACTTGCTATTCCAGCAATTCTGCTTTTGGGGGGCCACCATTCCCACATGCCATAGACTGTCCATTTTTTTATGAGGTGCATCCTTATGGCTTTCATGCCTGCCTCAGAAAGGTGAAACCGAACAAAAGGGAATTAAAACACATACACACACACACACACCCATCAAGTTGCTGTTCAGGAGGAAAACCCCGTGGGCAGCTCCATCTTTTTCCATCAGAAGATAGAACGGATGAACGCCATAGAGATTGTAGGACTCCTGAACACAATGGGGGGGGGGGAGAAAGCATATTGTCTTCATTTAGGCTTTTTTCTTTCCTTAGCCAATCATCATGCAGAGACACAGGAAAACTGGGAACTGTTACAAGACATCATAAATAGTTACCACCCTGAGTGTCCATTCTGGCACATGAATGTCAAGAGAAGGAGGGAACAAACAAACAACCCCCCCCAACCACTACCTAAAATAAATCAACTCAAAATCATCTCATAAATCCAGCATAAAACCTACTGAAGGAGGGACGTCTTGGGCCCATAGAGGCAGCATGTTCCACTCCAGATTATGTAGGAGGTCGCTCTGATGTTCCCCCAACCCGTAAAGAAACGTAGAAGGGAGGACAGTGGAAATCTGGAGAAACTGATCCGCAAAAAACAGGGGAGCCACTGTGGTGTTCAACCTACAAAAGGAAACATCCCAATTAAGAGAAAGGTAATGGGTTTTTTGAATTTTTTTTTTGTCAGTTTTTATGGCTCAGGGGTAGCTTCTCAGGACGACAGCAACGAAATGTTGAAAAACAACAGGAGCACAGGAGCTAGCAACTAGATCCTCAATCGCTCGTGACTAAAGTGACCGAGGAGTCCAGGGAAATAAATAAAAAAATCTGTAGCTTTGGACCAGGAAAAGAGTTTCCTCAATTTGAGTTAGTGAGAAAGCCCGAGATGCTGCAAAGCATGGGCTAATCTTGGTGTAGGCTGAGAGACAACGAACGGATCCTGCCTGTCTTATGGTGACGTATCCTAAAGACCACAACTATGAGATGAAGCAGTAAGGAATCCCAGGGGAAGTTTCCTGCCTTTACTAAAAACTTTCAGATGTTGAGCAGGGGGCCTTCTGACCATCTATGGTCCCTGACTGGCTGTCCTTCATGAAGGCAAAAGCACTGGAGGGCAACGCAGGAAACACAGCACTGCGACAACAATATCTGGATTCCTCTTTTTCAAAAATACAGAAGCAGGGTATGGAGCTATTGTGCAACCCCTCTTGGCTATTACTAATCTGACAGGGGGGGGGGCATCAGGCAACATCATCTTTCTGGAAAGACAGCCTGAGAAAACCACTAACCTAAAGGGGGGGGGATGCTTACAGAACTGTCCCTGAAACTCTTCGCTTGACTATCAAGCCAAAAGGCTCCTTGCAGAACTCAACGGAATAGAGAGGGTTCTCTGCTCTCTTTGTGGCTTGAGGAACATCAAGAGGCACCTCATATCGAGGGTTGATGGCATCAGCAATCTAGAAAAAGCGAGAGAAGCATAAACATTGCATCCCACGGAAACAAAGACACCATTATGAAAGGGCTGCAAGAATATTTAACCAATGTCTCACCTTGACGTGCAACCGAGAGTCTGTTTCAAACTCCACACTGAGTTGCAGCTTCTCAATATCTTTTGGATAATAAGTCTTTCTTTCTCTGGTTAGAAAACCCACCAGCCCCAGGTCAGTCTCATTCGTGCTCCCCAAGGTGTAGCTGGCAAAATCAGGGGGATAAAAGCACCATGGAACTCCGTTTATTCTATCGAGGGGCCTCTTGCCATCAACAAAACAGCACCCCCGACTCTCACAAAGTTCTCGCGTCACAATTACACTTCTCTCCGGGTAACAGTCAAAGCGATGGTTCTCTGGCACAGAGGTACATTTTGACCAGAGGGGAACCCCATGCTGATCCCACCAAATCTGCCCGAGAACCCAAACGGTCACCCCACTTAGGAGGGTGGCTACCATCAAGAGGCCCCCACCTAGCCACCAAGCCGACAACTTCTGATGGCACAATGGTTTTCCATCAGCACCATCCTCCCCCGCCTCGGTGATCTGAGACACGTCTGTTGTCAGCTTCTGATAGGACTTCATGGTCGCTATTGCTGCAGGAGGAAAATAAATAAATTCAACTTTATCTGTGCTTCTCAGGATGCTAATGACAGGGGGTGAAACAAGGGAAGTTATTTACACTGCAGTGATCTGCAGATCGTGATCCTGCAATGCAGGGGTTGGTGGCACCCTCTGAAGATGATCTGAAAGTTTCCTCCGATCCCAGGTGCTCCAACTGGATGAACTGAACTGATTGAAGCAACGGAGCAGATCCCATCATTGCTTAAATGTCTCTACTAGTTTGATAACATGATAATCTTTTAATTCAGGAGCTGGAGGCTTTGAAGTACCGTTTGGCTAAAGCATCACCAACTGCCTTATTTCTGAGATGATTGGCAGCTGCCCACCCCGCTTTCCATTTTACTCTTGCTAGACAGCAATCGTAGCCATGTTGATCGTGAGGAGGAATAGAAATCCCAAGTCTCCTAGCGAAATGCAGTCACCGGATTAGGCTATTGGTGGGTTGACACAACCACGCAAGATCACTGGAGCTTCTACGATCAAGATAATTAAAAACCCAGGAAGAGGGGACAGAGGAGAGAATCCTGGGGAGAGCGGGTGCAGAAAGCAAAGTTTATTCAAGCCACAAACAAGCCATTTTAATGGTTTCTGACACAGGACAAGTCACCCTTTCAGGACTTATTAACTTACCTTTGTTGAGATCAAGAGGAAGGCCAGCCCAGAACTAAAAAAAAGCAAAGCAAACAATACCTCTGTGCGTGTCTCCTCTTGATAGAGCAACAGCCGGAAGGAAAATAGCGCCACCTAGCGTGTGGCACTTGCAAAACACAACAGTAAACCTTCTACAATAAGCGCCCGCTTAAAACAAACAGGGCATTGCCAGCATTCTTAAGCCTTGGGGGGGGGGGGTTGGTTTTTTAAAACAGCATTCTACTCCAACCCCTTGTTTTCCCTTCTGTACCTGACCTTATCTAGCATGCCCCGATTAATCTTAAATTTTTCTTTGGCTATTGGCAGAGTGTCCCATTTATTTCACATGGCAGAAAGAAGCCCAAAGATCCTACTTGAAAAAAGTATATAAGACCATTTGCAATTGACCTTTGGGAATATGAAGGTCTGTATTTTAGGTCAAAAAATATGAGGGAAGCTTGCATTTCAAAATCTTGGCCACAGTGTTTTTTTTCTGTGTGTGCATGGTGCATTTATCAGTTTTCTTCCAAGGTACGGGAGTGTCCTATTTATTTTTTAAATCTGGGAGGCACATAGAAGGTACCATATTAATAACTGCAATAGCAAAATGACATATTGCACCAAAACCGAGAAGAGCTGGAGAAATAGAGGGTTTATATGATTAGATTTAATATGTTAAAGGGTTGAGCTAGTGTCTTTATCAGTGTTTTTCAACTTCAGCAACTGGAATTCGAGGAGCCTGAGTCCACACTTCTTAAAAGTTCCTTAGAAGAACAGCTTTTGATTTTAATGTTTGGCTTTGGACTAACAGGACACACGTGTGAGAGAGCTCTTCAACTTCCCCACTGCCACAAGTACACCTTCAGTCAGTCTTGGGGTTTTATCATTCCTGCCCTCCAGGAGTGCCAAGGAGAGGATATTAAAATGTCTGGCTCTAAGAAATGCTATTCTACTCTTAGGAAAGCTCAGGTCTTTCAGATACCTTGCTGGTCCCCACACACCCCATTTAATCCATTTTCTTGCTGCAGAGACAGATTCTGTTAAGCTCTAGCTGGAACTCCACGTCTCTTATTCTGTTGGTAGCCGCTTTGCTTGGGTTGGTCGTAGCCGAGGGATATTTAAAAACAGCGAGGAAAGTCCACAGGAGGCCCCCTTATGCTCCCATCGCCTGTTTCCTGGGAGAGGGGAAGTCATTTATTGAGACTAAAGCGCTCAAGCCCTCTGGGAAGAATTGAGTCCTACGGTTAAAGAAGGAATAGCAGTCACAAAAGGAAATAAATCCTTTTAATATGATTTTAAGATTATTATTATTTATCTATTGAAGTTATTGAATGCTATTAAGGGTCAAAAAACAGTGCCATCCTGTGGTTGAAGCAGGTAGAGGAGCCATTAAAAAACTTTTCAATAGAGGAGAATAAATATGGAAAGGTCAAAAGTGAAAATATGTCTATAATAATGTATAATAATATGAATTATTCTTAGTAAGAAGTAGAACATGTAGGAAGAAAAATGTAAATAAGAAATAATGGGGCTATAAGGACAAATATTCTAAAGAAGAATAAGGGGGAAATGTAAATATTAGATTACCGTTACGTAATTGCTGTAAAAAAAAGGAGTATATATTGTATGTGTATGTGTGTTATATTTTGCTTTGTTCTGTTTTGTTGGTTAAAAATAAAAATTAAAAAAAAACTTTTCAATGGCATTTTAAGGTTATTCTTTATTATTAAAACCTTATTAATATTAATAGGGCATCATAGTCCTCCTTAACTAGATTTAAGGCTTTTGAAGCAGATTTCTTCTTCCGCGCCTGCGTTGCAGCAAACGGGCCTCCCCTGGCCCTATTAATAAGGTGTTAATACTGTTAATAAAGATAGAGAATTTAAAATGCCATTAAAAAGGTTTATTTCTTTTGGTGGCCACAATACCCGTTTTTGACCAGAAGAGGGCACACTTTCCCGTCTCATAGCTTTAGCTTGGAGTCCATGGTAGGCTTTTTTTAATGGCCTCCATCCTATAGCCAAGGGACAGAAAACTCTGTCAAATCAGATACTGCAGCCACAAAAATAAATAAACCTCTTTAATGGCGTTTTAAGATGATGATTATTTTTTATTATTAAAATCTTATTAATATTAATAAGCCATGATAGGCTCATTCACCTCCCCTGCTACACTTGACTTGCAATCACGGTCTACAGGCCATGTGGCAAAGTACCACAAGTGGTACACATACCACTGGTTGAAAAGCCCTGCTCTATAATTATTAATATCAAGGCTTCTAATAATACAGATGCAAAAGAATAACCTCAAAATCCCGACTGTTCTGTTCCCTGAACCTGTCTTGCCCTCTCCGGCTGTAAAACGGGGCCCAAGGGCCATTTTACAAATGCAGATGGGGCAACTAAGCCTGAGAAAGAATCCCTGAAATTTATGTTTCCAACATGAACTGTATCTCTATGTTCCCAATTTGGCCTCTTGTTTTTCTCCCTCTGAAGTGGAAAGGGCACAAAGAGACCCAGCCTCCTAGTCTCTCGTACCGGCATCCAGCCGCCTGCTTAGGGACAGGAAGTCGGCCATGCCGAGAAGGTCGTTCTGAATGGAAGTGGAAGGACGGCCACAGAAACGGACAGGAAGTTCCATCCCGGGGAGGTCGGTGTGTAAGACAGTGGAGGACTACTGCGCATGTGTGACTGGAAGTTGGCAGGTAAGGTTGATTTCCTTGTGTGGCTGCTATTCCTGCCTAAGGCTGCGTTCTGATGACTTTGCCCCTAAAACAACAACATAGTCTTTCATATCTTGGGAAAGCCTGACTTTTTTGCCCTCTTTTGGGCAAAGAAAGAGTAGGGCCTGAGGTTTTTAAGAAGAGATTTGACAACCATTTGTCTGAAATGGTACTATAGGCTTTCCTGCTGGACTACAAGACCTTCCAACTCTATTGTTGTTATTGTTGATCTCCCAAAGCAATTGCTCACTGTATTTTCTTCCACTGTTTAGAAGGAAAAACATAACAGAAAGGAGAAACTATTCTCCTTTTAGCCGTTGTTTTGTGGTTAATTCAGGGTTCGGGGGAAATTTGACCGGCTCCTCTGGTTCAAGCCTATGCTCCAGCTCAAAATATGGAGTTGTGTTGTTTTGAGGAGGCTGTGCCAATAGCAAGTGGGAGGTCTTGTGGCAGGATTTGATTCTCTTCACCCCAAGACCAGCTGGTAAAAGCAGGAAAGTTTGCCTTCTCATGGACACGTTCCATCATAAACCGATCAAGAATTCTGGTGATTTGTTATGATTCCTACAACTCAGTGCTTTTTTCTTAGGCCCTAGGAGTAGGTAACCCAAAACACTCGAAGAGCCACTTGGACCCATTTACAACGGAAAACATCTTTTATGACTCATGGACTTCTACTCCCAGAATTCCTGAGTCAGCATAGCTGGGCTAGCTAGCTCTCTCCTGCCCTTCCTGCTTCCTGCAGAGACGCAGCAAAAGGAGGAGTGCCATCCAGTAAGCTTTTTAGCTCATCGGAGAACACTGTGAGTCCACTCTCTTTTTTACACACACACACACACACACACACACAGAGAGAGAGAGAGAGAGAGAGAGAGAGAGAGAGAGAGAGGAGGGGGGAAGCACAAGTGCCTCTCTCTCTTCTGCAAATGGCAGAGGAGGCTGGGAGCCGCAGGGGAAGGCTCAAAGAGCCATATGCGGCTCCAGAGCCGCAGGTTGCTGACTCCTAGGGGCACTCAGAGTACACCTTTGATAAAGGAATATACATAATAAGCAAACACGTATAAAACTGAGTTTAGTCAAAGCAGCAAAGTCTGCCCTCTTGTGGCCAGTGTGTGCTGTAACGTTTAGCAAAGAAGCCCTGAAGTGGCTTATTTTTATTCTTTCATTTCCTTCCTTTGATGGAAGCTCAAAGCAGCCACAGAAGAGGCTGCTGGGAATACAAAAGATAATTGCAGAAGCTAAAATTTCATTTCTAATAGGGCACTGAGGAGGGCAAAACAGGGAATGCTGCCCTCCTGTAGCCAGGTAAGTCCATGGCATTTTTTTCCCCAAGGTACAGCAGAAAAGGTTACTGGATAGATTAAATATAGATTGGGTGTCAAACTCAATTTCACTGAGGGCCGCATCAGCATTGCAGTTGCTCGGAGGGGGGAGGGGGCTGGGTGGGTGTGGCCAGAGTGGGTGTGGCCTACTGGGTGGGTGTGCATGGAGTGGGTGTGGCCTACTGGGTGGGCGTGCCCAGTTCTACACCAGTCGCGTCAAGGGTGCCTGTGGGGGTCTGGGCAGGAACGGGACAGATCTGAGGGTCTCTGGCAGAAGAGGGTGGGACGGGGGCAAGTGCCAAGGCATGGTCCACTGGGGCAAGTACCAAGATGGCCACCACAAAATTGTACATTGGCTCCCAGCCGGCTGGGGCCAAGACAGCGGGCTCCCTCACTGTTTCCAGGATGGCTTCGTGGGCCACATGAAACCACTTTGCGGGCCGCATCCGGCCCCCGGGCATTGTGTTTGACATGTCTGATATAGATGATTAATAGGTGAGATAGATAATAGATGAGAGAGGGAGAGAGAGAGAGAGAAATCTAAAACATTTGTTATATAAAGCACAAAAAACTTCATTGGAAGTTTATTTTGGTAGAACCCCCAAATCCTTACAAAAGATGATCCTCGGTGATTTCGGCACAGGGCAGGAGCACAAGGTGCCTAACAGGTCCAAGCTCCTGACCGCAGGATCCCAAATATAGTGAAGGAAGACTCGAAAAATACTTTATTGTTCTGCATCATATCTTCCAAGCGTTACCCAGTTGCAACAGTTTGTACAACAATTCAAAACATAATACAGTCTTACAGATAAAATACATAAACGCATAATCCAATATTTTAAGGATAAAAAGTCACACAAAAATTACAAAAGCAATGATAAAATACCATGGGTTAAATAGTTCACTAATTTAAAATGACATTTTTGACAAAAGGTGAGGTGTAAAAGGAACCATAGTTGTCATCAAAAGATTTTTCTCAGAAGAAAGAAAACACAACTTCAGTGTTCAAATACATAAATATCACAACAGGTATCTCTTGGTGAAGAGATGGTGATAAGAAAGAATACATAAAAACAGGTAAAAGATAAAACTTGTCTACCATAAGCATCACAACTACTTAACAACAGTAAATCAGGAGTAAAACTCAGTTGTATTACAAAAAATAAATGTCAAACAGAAATTTCAGGAACAAAAAGACAAATGTGTGTGACAAAAGAAATCAAAATTCTTGAGGTGACCGCCATACTGTGTGTCATGTTTAATATTTATCAGTCAAAACATAACTTACACATTTTAAACAACAGCCGTGGATAAAATTATTCCAAATAGAAATCTTTTATCAATCACTGGCCACACCAGACATTAACAAGAGCGGTTGAGGTTTTCTGTCTGGTTCTAAGAACCATGGCTGTGGCTAAATTTATGCCAGGCAGAAAACTATAAAATCTATTATCAATCACCGGCACACCCAGCGTTAAAAAGGGCCATTGAGATGCTTTCTGGTTCTAAGAACGACCATCGTGCCTAAATTAAGCCAGGCAAGAAATCTACTCAGGATTTCAATGGCCACATCTTTAGCTGACTGTGTTCAGCAGGTCAGCGGTTCAAATCTCACCGGCTCAAGATTGACTCAGCCTTCCATCCTTCAGGGGTAGGTAAAATGAGGACCCAGATTGTTGGGGGCAATGTAAATATATATATACATTGCTTACTGGTATACACCGCTTAGAGAGTGCTTGCACTTAAAGCGGTATATAAGTCTCATAAATAAATAAATAAATAAATTTAAAAGGGTCACACAGATTTATTTTCCAGTTTGAGGACATAATGTTTCACTCTAGCAAAAAACTAGTTATTAATTTATAGAGATGGCAATACCTCGTATTAAAGTGTGTCACCAGGTTTACTTTTGGTTCCAAGAGATCTGGCTGCAGCTGACATTATTTCTCAGGGTATGAAGTTGGGAGGGAAGCGATTCAAAAGGATTCCCTTCCAGTTTGAGACTCAGCTAGGGCACCGGAGGAGGCTTGTAGTTGAGCGCTGTTGACTCCTCCAGTGTGACTCGCCCTGGCTGCTCACTCAGGTACTGAAAGGGTCTCCCTCCCAGGGTGGGTCTCACAGAGTGTGTGCTCAGAGGCTGGACGAGCCTGGGAGCGTCTGGCTGCCTACTCATTCAGTGTGAGTTTCACAGAGTAGTAACTCAGGGACTGGAAGACCCCTGTCAGGAGTGCCTTGGCATCACCTCTCTGAGTCAGGATGGCCTCAGCAGCAGTGCAGCCTTTTGCCCAAGAAATGCAGCCCATCAACTCACCCGTGCCCATTTACAGCCAGCTTTCCTCCTCCGCTGCCCTCCCGCAGCCATTCTCCACGGCCAGTGGGCCCTTGGCCCTCTGCCTGTCGCCCTTCGGCCCGGCCAATTCACCCAGATACCGTTTGTCCTGGGTCTTTGTCTGTACGGGACAAATAGCCCACAGCCAACTGGGTGGCAGGCAGGAGCCATGGTGCTGCGGGGGCAGCGTGCAATGAGCAATCCCAGGGGCTGGGGGGGGCAGTTGTGATGCAAGATTTTTTAAAGTGCTGTGGCTGCTCTGCATGTTTTGGGGCCTTGCAGCTCTGACCCCAGAATCGGAAGGAGGGGGACTGGCAGCAGAAGTAGCAGCCACCGGGGCCACTGGGGGGAGCAGTCAGACAAGAGTGTGTTGGGGAACGAGGGAGGGAGGGAGGGGCACCTCAAGGGGGCTTCACGAAGACAGCTTGACTTGCAACTCAAAGAGGGGAGGAGAAAGGCCGGAGCAGCTTCTGCTATAGCCAGGGAGGTGGGTTAGGGGGGCACACAGGCAAACAGCAAGGCCAGCGTGGCTTCTACCCACCCTTCCCTCCCACAACGGGTCACAGTTCCAACCCCCAAGCCCATGCCATTTGCCCTCCCTTCCCTCCCACGACGGCGCACGCAGTCCCATCAGCCCCAGCCCTTGCCATTTGCCCTCCCTTCCCTCCCACGACGGCGCACGCAGTCCCATCAGCCCCAGCCCTTGCCATTTGCCCTCCCTTCCCTCCCACGACGGCGCACGCAGTCCCATCAGCCCCAGCCCTTGCCATTTGCCCTCCCTTCCCTCCCACGACAGTGCAAGCACTCCCATCAGCCCCAGTCCTTGCCAGTTGCCCTCCCTTCCCTCTCAAGGTGCAAGCAGTCCCATTAGCCCACGCTTCCCTCCCATGACGCTCCAGTTCCAGCAGCACACCAGCCCTCTGTTTGCCTGTGTGCCCCCCAACCCGCCTCCCTGGCTGTGGCAGAAGCTGCTCCGGCCTTTCTCCTCCTCCCCTCTTTCGTTTGAGTTGCGAGTCAAGCTGTCTTCGTGAAGCCCCCTTGAGGTGCCCCTCCCTCCCTCCCTTGTTCCCCCAACACACTCTTGTCTGACTGCTCCCTCCAGTGGCCCCGGTGGCTGCTACTTCTGCTGCCAGTCCCCCTCCTTCTGATTCTGGGGTCAGAGCTGCAAGGTCCCAAAACATGCAGAGCAGAGCACTTTTTTAAAAAAATCTTGCATCACAGCTGCCCTCCCCAGCCCCTGGGGTTGCTCAGCGCATGCTGCCCCCGCAGCACCATGGCTGGGGGCTATTTGTTCCATATAGCCAAAGGCCCGGGACAAAGGGTGTCTGGGTGAATTGTCCAGGCCGAAGGGCGACGGGCAGAGGGCCAAGGGTCCACTGGCCGTGGAGAATGGCTGCGGGAGGGCAACGGAGGAGGAAAGCTGGCTGTAAATTGGCTGAGGCGAGTGGCAGGGGGCGAAGAAGGCATGACCAAGGGTCCATGCCTAAACATGGGGGGCGGTGCAGATGGAATCAGGAATAGTGCATCTCTTTTGTCTCTCTGGTTTCATGGACTGCAATGATCATGATCATCATTGACCAGTGAGGGAAGCGATCCAAAAGGATTCCCTTCCAGTTTGAGACTCAGTTGGGGAGCCTCAGGGACCGGAAGAGACTTCCAGCCGAGGGCTATTGATGCCTCCAGTGTGATTCGCCCTCGCTGCTCACTCGGGGACTGAAAGAGGGAGACTTCTAGTGTGAGTCTCAGAAAGTATCTGCTCATGGACTGAGTGAGTCTGGGAGCCGATAATTATCCACATCCATTCGGTGTGAGTGTCACACAAGCTCAGGGACTGAAAGACCTCTAAAAATGAGTCATCACTATTTACAGGATGGATTGGCATGTGGAATGCTTGTGTGGCCCTTCTCAAGTTCTAAGAAGTACAGCTGTGGCTAACATTACACTAGGCCAGAATACTAATTACTGTTTTAATAATCAGTGACCAAGCCTAGCAATAGAAAGGGCCATAGACATTTTCTTTTGGGTTTTAAGAACCATTGCCAGGCCTAACAGTAAGGAGGCAAGAAAAGTATGGAATCTTATGTACATCATGGAACACACCTAGAATGGGCTAAAAATACAACAGGCAAGAAAACGAGAATCCCTATTATGT